ATATAATCTCAATGCATGGAACTACTTACCAAGCACAAGTAGGGTAAAACTACACAAACCATGCCCTAAGGTTTCATATCTAAAGTGGTAAGCTAATGATACTACATATTATGCCATATGAATTTAATATTAATGTAAGCCACAATTACTAATCATGTAATATAGTAATTTACCTACAAGTAATTTCAAGTGCTGCATACAAGATTTTTATACTAAACTTTCAATGAAAGCTCCATTACTTAACAACATAAGTGCAATTTCAAGATATTCATAATAAACCCTCAATGAAATCACAAGTATTAGGCAAATCATTAAACAATAACATACCTATACAATTTAATAGTCATATACATGCTTTAATCCACAATTCCTAAGTTAAGCATATAAAATCTCTATTCACATACAAATAAAAGAATTTAAAAGGCATGTAATCAATATATATTAAGCTCCAATATATATAAAACCCAAAGAGGATAAACATACAACCACCCCTACCTCACAAGAGGATTGTTCCTCTTAAATCCAAGGGAAGCAAAGGAATTTCAAGTTTTTCTTTTAGGGTTATGAAGAGGAAGGTGAGGCAAAGTTTTTGTATTCCAAACTTTATGGTCTAGGGTGAGTGGAAGGAGGTCAAAAATGAGGTCAAAGCCTTGAGTCAAGTTTTTCCTTCCATGATGGCTAAGTTAGAGTTCTTGAGAGGAAAGTGATGAAATGAAATAAAGGCACAAACCCTAACTAAATATGGTGGGATTCTCCACTCACTAGGTGCTCTTGCACTACCTCTCACACACACATAATGCAAGACCAATTGTGAAGCCTACACTTGTCACCATCCTATATAAACTTTCAAGACTTATCATTGAGCCTACACTTGTCAACCATCAATGCCAACAAGTGCTCGTATCCTAGGACAACAAATGGGTGAATCTCTACCCTCCAAATGTTATAAGATCATGCTCCCAAGTCTACCCACCCTAATGCCAACAAGTGGCACCATGAGAATGTGACACTTGTCACATTTTTTGAAAATTGTAAAAAGGTCATTTTTAAAAATATCTTCTAAATTAAATTACAAAATAGTCCCTAAGATGAAAAATAATTACTTTATTTAATTACCATAAAACCCCAAAAGTTATGAATAATTACAAGAAGTCATGCATCCATGCTATTTACAAGGAAAGTAAATATCAAGCATGCTTTTCAACAAAAGTAAAAATATAGATATCATGGAAATTATATATCATGAATGTATGTAAAGCTGAAATCAAATTCGAGCACAAAAAGTGAGGTTATGTAAGGAAAAACGACAAACGAGAAAAAGACGAAATAGGGAAAAAGACGAAAAAATGAAATTTGCCGAAAAAAGAAAGAAAGAGAAATGACCTGGTCATTACAATTGTGATTAAGATATAATCACGGTAAGAATCACAGCAAGAATCAGAATACAACGGTTATAATAAGATACACAAAATCTTTATATTAACATCCCCCCTCAAGCTCAAGGTGGTAAAGCAAAAACCAATTTGAGTTTGGAAACTAATTCTCGAAATCTGCCTGGCGGATGAGCTTTGCTAAAGATGTCAGCGGTTTGATCAGTGGAAGTTACAGAATGAAGGCGTACAGTTCCCCGAGTAACTTGTTGACGCACAATATGACAATCAATTTCAATATGTTTGGTGCATTCGTGAAAAACATCATTATGAGCAACAATAAAGAATAGTGCCAGTGGAATGAGAAACACCCATATCTGTTAGGAGCCATTGAAGCCAAATAAGTTCTTGTGTGAAATCAACAAGGGCACGGTATTCAGCTTCTGTACTAGACCTGGAAACAACGGATTGCTTTTTGCTGCGCCAAGAAATAAGAGAGTTACCAAGAAATAAACAGAAGCCAGTAGTAGAACGCCGGTTAGTTGGATCACCTGCCCAATCAGCATCAGAGTAGGCACGTAGCTCAAGTGAAAAATGACTAGAAAAGTGAATACTATGAAACATAGTCCCTTTAATGTATCAAAGAATGTGTAGTACAACGGTATAATGAGTAGATCAAGGAGCAAAAATGAACTGACTGACAAGATGCACAGCAGAGGCGATGTCAGGTCGAGTAACAGTGAGATATACCAGACTGCCAACCAATTATCAATACAATGTGGCATCACTGAGGAATGTACCATCTAGAGGAGTGAGCTTAACATTTGGCTCAAGTGGAGTAGGAACTGCCTTGCAATCAGTGATACCAGCACGAGCAAAAATGTCAGAAGAATACTTGGCTTGGGAGAGATAATAGCCATCCGAATCAGAGAGAATCTCCAAGCCTAGAAAATAGTGGAGGTGCCCAAGATCCTTCGTATCAAAATGATGACTGAGAAAATTTTCAAGTGCAGAGATACCTGCAAGATCATTGCCAGTGATTATCATGTCATCAACATAAAGTAAGAGAAACGTAATACCAGAGTCATTCTTATAGATAAAAAGGCTAGAATCATATGAGCTTGAGGTAAATCCAAAATCTCCAATTGTATACTTAAATTTTGCAAACTAAGCTCTTAGAGCTTATTTAAGACCACACAGTGCTCGACGAAGTTTACAGACTTGATGTCGAGAATGGTCATATCCTGGAGGAGGTTTCATATGTACTTTTTCAGTGAGATCACCATTGAGAAAGGCATTTTTCACATCCATTTGAAATAATTCCCACTTACGAGTTACTGCAACAGCCAATAGGCTACGGACAAAAATAAGTCGAACAACAGGGGCAAATGTTTTCTCATAGTCAATGCCATATTCTTAGGTGAATCCATTTGCAACCAAAAGAGCTTTATATCGTTCTACTGACCCATCAGAATGAGTTTTGATTTTGTAAACCCATTTACAGCCAACAACAGTTTTGTCAGAGGGAAGAACAACCATGTCCCAGGTATGAGCTTGTGTGAGAGCCTGTAGTTCTTCTGTCATAACTTGCTGCCAAAGGGGGTTAGAACTAGCCTCACGATATGATTGAGGCTTATGATGAGACATGATAGTAGAGAAACACTGAAAATTATGTAAATGACTAAGAGGTTTTCTTACCCGATTAGATTTGCGAGGAGGTTGAGCAGTAGTGATGGTATTTAATGAAGAAGATTCAGTATTAGGACCATCAGATGAAGCAGATTCGTCAGGTAAAGCCATTTGTGGGAGCTTAGATGAAGACGTTGTTTCTGGAGTAGATGAGATAGTGTTTGGAAGCTCAGATGAAGATATTGTATCTATGTCGTCTGGGAAGAGTTCAACTAAAGAATCAATAAAGAATAAGGGAGTAGAAGATGGAGATAAATAGAATTTGGAGAGAGAAAAGAACATTTTGTGTTCCCAAAAGATTACATGACGAGAGACACGAAGACGTCTGGAAATGGGATCCCAACATCGGTATCCTTTATGTTTAATTCCTTAACCTAGAAAACAACATAGACAAGCCCAAGGCTCTAATTTGGTACGTTCATGAGGCTGAAGTAAGACAAAACAAGGACATCCAAAAAACTTTAAGAAGATTATAAGCAGGAAAGATCCCATATAAGCGTTCAAAGGGAGATTGATTTTCAATAATAGGCATGGGAAAACGATTGATGGTGTATACAGCAGTAAGAGCTGCTTCCCCCCAAAAACGCTCAGGACATCAACTGGATATTAGGAGGGAGCGAACAGTGTCTAAGATATGCCTATATTTACGTTCAGCCCGTCCATTTTATTGGGATGTACCAGGACAAGAAGAGTGAGAGATCATTCCATGTTGGCGAAGAAATTTTAAAAAATTTGTTTCATTTTACTCCAAAGCATTATCAGCGCGGAAAATCTTGATCGATCTGGAAAACTAGGTTTTGACCATGTTTGCAAAATCATAGTAAAGTTGGGGTAGTTCAGAGCGATTTTTCATGAGATATAGCCAGGTAAATCGTGAGTAGTCATTAATGAAAATAACAAAGTATTTGGATCCCCCTATTGTAATGCGAGGAGAAGGTCCCCATACATCAGAGTGAACTAGGTCAAAAGGAGCAGTAGTAATAGATGTGCTTTTATTGAAAGGTAAAGCAGGTTGTTTTGCAAGTTAACAAGGTAAACAAGTTACATCATCATTTTTAATTGAACATAATTGACCGGTTGACACTAAAGAGCATAAGCGCCCAACAGATACATTACCTAATCAAGAATGCCAAAGGCTAAATGAGGGAGTAGAGGTTGCTAAAGCAACAGTAGAAACTGTAGAGGGCCGATGAGAAGGAATGCGGAGATAGATGAGCTCAAAGAGACGTCCCACTTTACGGCCTATCCCAAAGGTCTGCCCCATCTGTGGATCCTGTACATGACAACCAGAAGAAGAAAAAATGACATTAAGTCCAAGTTCATATATATGACCAACAGAGATAAGATTGATTGTAAGTTTTGGTATATGAAATGTATTTGAGAGTGAGACATTGGGAGTAGAAATTTGACCGACGTGATTGACATGTAAGTGAGACCTTTTAGCTGTATGAATTGTAGGTGTATTGATGGTAGGATGATGTTTAGAAAATATTGTAGAATCAGAGATCATGTGATTACAGCAACCAGAATCAAAAAACCAAGAATTACCTGGGTAACTGACATGGCAGTGGAAGAAGGAGTACCATTATTAGAGATAATTTGTCTCAGAAGGGCCTCGATATCGTTGGTGGACATCTGTGCGACTGTAGAAGCAGGAGGACAATATCCCTCAGCAGTGCCAGTAGTGATGGAGGAAGATGGATGATTGTGTCTAGATGAAGAACCTTTAGAAGAATTAATGCGAGATTGCCAATTCTTGGGACAGTCACTCTGGTAGTGACCTGGGCTTTTCATGTTGCAAAACTTGCAAACTCTGGTGGGACAAGTTAATACAACGTGATCTGTTTTGTGATAGTAGTTACACTCCCTTGGAGAGGAAAAGGATGACGTCAATTTCTTTTTGGGAAAATGAGTAACAAGAACTGCATCTGAAGCCGAAGGTTAAGATGTACTCAGACGAGTTTCTTCTGAAAGAAGCTCGGTTATAGCATCTTCTAAGGTAGGCAGAGGATGCCGATGAGGAAGAGAGGCTCGAACGGGTTCAAATGAAGGTTGAAGAGCCATGAGAAACATGATCACACGTTGCTCATCTCGATAGGTAGTAAACTTTGTAGCATCAGAAGCACACGACCAAGTGGGTTCAGAAAGAGATAGTTGATCCCAAATAGCATGCATTTCATAGACAAAAGTACTAATAGATTGACCAGGCTGTTGAGTTTTGTTGTGAAGATTGGTCAGAAGTTGATATTGATGGGCGAGATCAATGGTGGTGTAACGGTGCTTCAAAAAATTCCAGATAGATTTTGCAGAATCAAAACGACCAAATTCTATACTAATGGATGAGATAGAGGTATTGCAAAACCAAGTGATAATCTGATGATTTTTGTTGTCCCATTCTTCAAGACGGTTACCATATTTTTCTTTTGTTTCAGTTTCCTCCCGCACGGGCTCGAGGATATCACCAGTGAAAATGCGCCAAAATTTTTTACCTTTGAGAAAGCTGGTCATAGCTTGGGTCCAAATAATATAATTTGAACAGCCCACCAATGTAGTGCTAATACGATGAGAAATTTCGGATTGGTCCATAACTTGAAAATATATGGACTTGTACCTGATTGATGGAGTGTGAATATATATATATATAATATTTTTATAAATTATAATATTAAATATATATATATATATATTAAATATATATATATATATATATATATATTTATAACATCATTGTTTTAATATTATATATATATATATATAAAACAATGATGTTATAAATATATATAATATATATATATATATATGCTGTCGGTGGGGTTCCAAGAACCTTTAATCAGGACGTTTTTTTTATCTTTCTCCACAAAAAGAAACTGTATTCAGAGCTTTGACAGAGCCTTTAATTAGGCAGATATCGGCGACAGATGGAGCGACGGCAGAGAGCAGAGATCGGTGATAATGGTGAAGGACAGAGGCGGTAGATGGAGCCACGGCAGATAGCAGAGATGGGTGACGGCGACAGAGCTCCGTAGCGGCAGATATCCGCGATGACGGCAGAGATATATCCGTGGCGGCAGAGAGCCGCGACGGAAGAGAGCAGTGGTGTGTCGACGATGTCGGCACTTGCAGAGATCGGCGGCAGCGATCGGCGATGGCGGCAGAGAGTTTGTGACGGCAGAGAGCAGAGCAGTGGTGACGGCGGCAGAAAGTTTGTGAAATTTGAGACTGAATTTCAGAGGTACAGTAAGTGGAATGATTCAGTACAGGCCATTAATTCATGGCTCAGATACCATGTTGATTAACAAAGTTACCGAGACAAAGATGAAATATGAGAGAGATATAGAATTATGTTTGGAGCATGTACAATGAGCCTATTTATAGGTTACTGTGAAACGGCTATACAATTATGATTAAGATGTTAATCAAAAATAATAATTAAATAATTATTACTATAGTATAAAGGTATCTGTCTTAAGATTGTTAATCAAAAATAATAAATAATGTATCATATACTATAGTATAATTTATTTAAATATTATTTGTAAATATAATATTTATTATAATAATCTATATAATATCAAGAAAATAAAACTATAAAAGAACCTGATAAAGTCGAGGCTAGAATTTAATTCTATAGCCTTAAGACAGATACGCCCCGCTACGGTGCTAACGGACTCTTCGGCGTCTATCTCCCAGGATACAACGACTTTTCTTCCTTTGGTAGTAGCACTTCAAACCAATGGAAAAGGCGAACCGGCTCGGTGTAGTACTCTCTGATGAACTCAGACTCGGAGACCAGGATTGAATCCTAACTCGGAGACCAAGATTGAACCTAAACTTGGAAACCAAGGTTCGAACCCAATCCAAACCAGTTTAGGTTGAACCCAAACCAGTGGCTGAACCGAACAAAGAAGAATTAGAAGAAGAAATTCAGAAGAAGAGAAGAAGATTTCTGAATTTGGTGTGAATTGAAATGAACCCAATGATGGGTATTTATAGGCTTGTTGGTGCCTATTCTGAATGGGTGCACCCATAGTCCGAATGGGTGCAACCATTGTTGACCAATCAGAATTAAAAATCTGTTGGTGGTTTTTAATTTGTAAAGGGTGCAACTTTTGGTTTTCAAAATTTAAAACTAATCCTTTTAATTCTGATCCAGCCCAGCCCAGCAACAAAATAAAATTACCACACAGGCCCATCCTAACTTTGGGTAAAAAGTTAAACCCATTTCACAATCAAGCCCCGCCCCGCCCTAGCCCGGACCGGGTCGGGCGGGCGGCGCGCGCGTGTGGTAGTTGGTTCGGATCCAGGCTAGCCTAGGTCCTCCCCCTCTTAAAAACTTGGGTGCCCTTGGGCCCAAACCCAAATCCCATACTAGACATATATATACTCAAGGTTGCTTTGCTACTTTTCCGATGTGGGACAAGCATTTCCCACTTTATTCACACCCATTTAGGCTTTATAAATCACTTACTTTGGAGCCAATTTCTCATTCACCCGGAAACGGATTTGAGAAAATAAATATACCATGTTCATCTCCTCGCAGAGAGGAACGCGCTCATCAATAGATTCGCAAAAAATTCTTAGCGGAATCTTTTTAAAAATCCTTCCAAAGTTTGCGTTTTCTAATGCCGTTTCCAACAATATATAATTAATTATAATTTGACTCGTGGTCTGTATATCAATATATAACAGACAAATGGCAAGTACGAGTATTACCGTGCCTAATGTTCCCGTCAGTCATGGAGAGAAGCCCGAAAAATTCAACGGGACAGAGTTTAAAAGGTGGCAACAGAAAATGATGTTCTACCTTACAACTCTGAATCTAAGCAAGTATCTGACTGAGACTGCTCCAGTGTTAGATGAGGGTGATACAGACATTACCAAGCTTGGAGCTGTTGATACATGGAAGCATGGAGACTTCCTATGCAAGAACTACATCCTCAATGGATTGGACAACACCTTATATAATGTGTACAGTCCAATAAATACTGCTAAAGAGCTTTGGGAGTCGTTAGACAAAAAGTATAAAACAGAGGATGCTGGATTGAAGAAATTCGTGGTTGGACGATTTCTGGACTTCAAAATGATAGACTCCAAGACAGTCGTGAGCCAAGTGCAGGAGCTCCAGCTAATCCTACATGAGATACATGCTGAGAAGATGACATTGAGTGAATCCTTTCAAGTAGCTTCAATCATTGAAAAGCTGCCACCTACTTGGAAAGATTTCAAAAATTACTTGAAGCATAAGCGCAAGGAAATGGGGCTCGAAGACTTAATTGTCAGGCTGAGAATTGAAGAAGATAACCGTACATCTGAAAAGAGAGCCGGAAATTCTTCAATAGTGTCAAAGGCAAATGTAGTGGAAGCAGGACAGAAAAATAAGAAGAGGAAGCACTCTGGAGAAGGTCCTAGCCAAGGAAACTACAAGAAGTTCACCGGGAAGTGTTTCATATGCGGCAAGCTAGGACACCGAGCTAAAGATTGTCGTAGCCGCAAAACACATCATAACCCCAAGAAGAAGACCACTGAGGTGCACATAGCTGAAGAAGATAAGTTGACAGCTGATGTATCAGAGTTAAATCTTTCAGCTGTGGTTTCTGAAATCAACCTGGTAAGCAACAACAGAGAATGGTGGGTGGACACAGGAGCTACTCGTCATGTTTGCTCTGAAAAGAGGATGTTCACTACCTATGAAACTATAAATAATGAAGAACAACTCTACATGGGGAATTCTTCTACTGCAAAGGTTGAAGGACAAGGAAAGATCAAGCTACTAATGACCTCAGGAAAAGAGCTCACTCTTAATAATGTGCTGCATGTACCAGACATCAGGAAGAACTTGGTCTCTGGGTCACTACTAAGCAAGAATGGGTTCAAGCTGGTCTTTGTATCTGATAAGTTTGTGCTGACTAAGAATGGGGTGTATGTGGGCAAAGGGTATCTAAGTAATGGACTATTTAAGTTCAATGTAATGACTGTTGTACCCAAAGCTATTAATGATAATAATAAAGCTAGTGCTTCTTCTGCTTATATTATTGACTCATCTGATGTATGGCATGGTAGGTTAGGACATGTTAATTATGATACTATTCGTAGATTGATTAACATGGAATCTATACCTAAATTTAATATTGATTTAAATCAAAAATGCCAAACATGTGTAGAAGCAAAATTGACTAGAACCTCATTTCACTCCATAGAACGAAGTACTGAACCTCTAGCATTAATTCACAGTGATATCTGTGACTTTAAATCTGTGCCAACTAGAGGTGGGAAAAAGTATTTCGTTACTTTTATTGATGACTGCACAAGATATTGTTATGTATACTTGTTAAGAAGTAAAGATGAAGCCTTGGAAATGTTTAAACATTACAAGAATGAGGTTGAGAATCAACTTGGAAAAAAGATAAAGATGTTTAGAAGTGATAGAGGTGGTGAATACGAAATACCATTCGCTGACATTTGTTCAGAACATGGTATTATTCACCAAACTACCGCTCCTTATTCACCTCAACAGAACGGTGTTGCTGAACGCAAAAATCGTACCTTAAAAGAAATGATGAATGCTATGTTGATAAGTTCTGGTTTAACCCAGAATTTGTGGGGGGAAGCTTTGCTCTCTGCTAATTATGTTCTCAACAAGGTACCTCAAAAGAAATCAAAGGTGACACCTTATGAATTATGGAAAGGTCAAAAACCTTCCTATAAATTCTTAAAAGTATGGGGGTGTTTAGCTAAGGTTGCGGTTCCTACTCCTAAGAAAGTTAAGATAGGACCAAAAACTTTGATGGTATTTTCATAGGCTATGCACAGAATAGTAGTGCATATCGTTTTCTTGTGCATAAATCAGACATTCCTGATATCCATGTCAATACAATTATTGAGTCAAGGAATGCTTATTTCTTTGAGGATATATTTCCTTGCAAAAATCCTCTTAAAAGAAATTATGATACTGCTAATAGCAATATACAAGAGAATATAGACCAAGAGTCTATAGATGATGAAAATGAGGAAGAACCTAGACGTAGCAAAAGAGCTAGAACGTCTAAGTCATTCGGTCCTGACTTTCTGACATATATATTGGAGAATGAGCCACAAAGCTACAAGGAAGCTATGTCTTCTCCTGAAGCTAATTTATGGAAAGAAGCCATAAATAGTGAAATTGAATCCATCATGCAAAATCATACTTGGGAAGCCTATAAATACCCATCATTGGGTTCATTTCAATTCACACCAAATTCAGAAATCTTCTTCTCTTCTTCTGAATTTCTTCTTCTAATTCTTCTTTGTTCGGTTCAGCCACTGGTTTGGGTTCAACCTAAACTGGTTTGGATTGGGTTCGAACCTTGGTTTCCAAGTTTAGGTTCAATCTTGGTCTCCGAGTTAGGATTCAATCCTGGTCTCCGAGTCTGAGTTCATCAGAGAGTACTACACCGAGCCGGTTCGCCTTTTCCATTGGTTTGAAGTGCTACTACCAAAGGAAGAAAAGTCGTTGTATCCTGGGAGATAGACGCCGAAGAGTCCGTTAGCACCGTAGCGGGGCGTATCTGTCTTAAGGCTATAGAATTAAATTCTAGCCTCGACTTTATCAGGTTCTTTTATAGTTTTATTTTCTTGATATTATATAGATTATTATAATAAATATTATATTTACAAATAATATTTAAATAAATTATACTATAGTATATGATACATTATTTATTATTTTTGATTAACATAAGATATAGTCACGGTAAGAATCACCGCAAGAATTAGAATATAACGGTTATAATAAGATACACAAAATCTTTATATTATCACAAAGGATCAATAGGTGAAGAACTTCAAAATAATTGTCTTGCAACATTGGTTTCTTGGATGCATGATAGTATTTTCAGCAAAGAGGTACTTTAACATGAAAACCCATTTTTTCATAAACAACTTTCTAAAATAGTCTTGGACACGCCCAATCAAAAATATGACAAGGGCTAAAGCAGAAGAGATCCCTCTAATAAAAAAAAAGCTATCATGGTTTAGAATGGTGGGGCTAGGCATAGAATCCTGCAACATAAGAGATGACTGAATCTTAAACCATTCCTCCTCCGTCGTCTTTAGTTTTCCTTCTGCTCTTAGCTTCATAATCGACCTTGGCATCTCAGGAATCAATGGTGAACACTTTCGAAAAACCTGTGTCATAAGAGATCGATTGACCAAATTAAGTATATACATGTTACATAAAAATCGCATTAAGTTGTTTCGATATTCATATTTGTTGTCCTATGTTTATATATGGACACACTTGCATTAAATAATTTGTAAAAGAATGATACATTGACTGAATTTTCAAGGAATTCACATATGCGATCAAGGAATTCACATAAGTCCTTATGTTTTGCTCTAAAGTGGGCTTTTAATCCCTTACCGGCTGTTTTGCCAAAAGGCCCACACTGTAATTACTTTTACATTTATAATACTTGCTTAAAATTCCAAAAAAAAAAAAAAAAAAAGAAACTTCATAGGCAGAATGATTTAACCAAAATAAATATGCAAATGCCCAACAGCACCATCACCATGCACCCCTTTCTCTACAACTATGCTAATCGAATTAGGCATGACACTTTTGAAGTACTTATGATTGTTTCAAAAAAAAAATTTGTTGGGATTTAAGGTTTGTTTGGATGTAAAATATTTTAGAATTTTTTACTTTTTATTTTATTTTTTGGTGTACACTTTTGGAGTACTTATGGTTATTTTTTTTAAAAAAAAAATTATTAGAATTTAAGCTCTATTTGTTTGGGCATAAAATATCTTGCAAAAGATATTTTTTTTATTTTTCTGATATTTAGTTGTGCTAAATATTAAAATTTTAAAAAAATAATTTTACCCTGAATGTTTGAGGAAATAGTAATGGTGGTAAGAAGGTTGACTTTAAGATATACTCTAATTAAGTTATATTTACAATCATAATGGATCAATTTTTATTACCATGCATGCCACGTTCAACCAAAATTGATCTCACAATCACAAGTTTTCTCCAATCAGAGCATTATCACACCCATGACCCATTTAACGCTCCACGTCCACATGCATTTGCCACCACTCTTGCCCACTGTCACCATTGAAATACATAAGCGAAGGAAGATATTTTGGATCATATGATGTCCTTTATATTTATTTTTAGGAACCAATTTGTTATGAAGTACAATTAACTCTGTATATATGTGTCAAATTATGTATACGTGAACATTATAAAGACTTCCAAATTACAATAGACTAATCTTGTGATTGCATCACAACTCTTACCATCATATAATATTAATGGAGTTATAATATATGTATATATATATTTTCTTAACAAATAAACTCGTAAATTCACTATATTGGTATAATAAGTTGAACCCTTCACTTTTATTGTGGGTCCGAAAAGATTGGAAATATAAATTCTGACATATACTACCATTTTATTTATACAAATGTCACTACTTGTACATTTGAACCAGTGTGGTAGACTTGTCCAAAAACTTCCATCCTTGAATTAAAGAGGATTCAGAAGTTGGAACGAAGTACGAACCAGTCAAAACATAGCCGTTTAAGTAGGGGGTGGCTTTGTTGTAAATAAAAGAAAAGGCAAAGGCAATGTTGTACAATATTATTTTACAATAGTACTTGAATTCTTTCAAGCGACAGAAAAATGGTACCATCTTAAATAAAGACAAATAAAGGGGCATTTAATTGAGTACAGTAACATTTTTTCCCCAATAAAGCGCAAACCGTTCCGCTTCCTCTTCCGCTCCTGCAACAGAACTATACGCTTCAGTCTCTCTCTACTGCTCTCTCTCTCTCTCCTCGTTTTCTCTCTACTCTCTCTCTCAACAAACAGTGAGCCATGGCGGTGGAAGCTCAAAACGGTGGAGCTCAGAACGGATGCTCGAAGGTGGTGAAGTTCTTGGCGTTGAAGCCTCAGCTGTCCGTTGAAGCACCAAAAGCCAACGACGCCGTACAGTTCTACAAGGCGGCTTTCGGTGCGGAGGAGGTGAGCCGTGCCATGCATCCCAAGCGCAAGGCCGATCAAGAGCTCCCTCTCGTTCTCGCTGCCGAACTCAAGCTCGGTCCCTCCTCTATTATCGTCTCTGACATTGCCGATGAGTCTTCTCCTCCGTGAGTCTCTGACCTTTCTCTAACTTTTACGTTCATACTTTTTTGTCTTTTAAATGTTTCAGATCTGGATATAATTACATGCTTTGCGTTGTTTCGGGTCATTTTATTTACTTCAGACAAGCCACTGTTAGGTCCTTTTCAAATTTTGAGTCTATTTAGGCTTGAGATAATGCTTGTTCACTCATCGTTTCAAGTTTCTTCCGGTTGTTACTCTTCTGAATCTTTGTCTTTCGTTTACATCTGATATAATGAATTCAGTGTTCTCGATTTCTGTGGAACCTTCTCTTTTTCGAGCACACACACATATATATATATGTATATTGTTGGCTTGATTTTCTTTTTGTTTGTTTGTATATATGAAATCTACTTTTTGAGTGTTTTTCTCTGGTTCGATCGACTGTTATATATGTATCTATATGTTCTTATCACGTGATAGTTTTAATCTCTCCATATTTGCTCTCCGATTTTTGCTTGTTTGTTTCCTTTTCCCTTGTATCTTTAATACTTGCATTCCGATTGCTTGTTTCGCCTCTTTTATTCGTTTAAATCATCACGATTTTCGAGGCGTGAGATTTGCTTGGTTGATTAATATATTTTCATCAGAAAAACCCTGTGTCCAGCAAAATTTTAGATTATCATCAACATTTAATGACAGTAATAAATAGAGTAAATATATATAATCCCGTGGTTGGTTCCAAACACAGCTTTTGTATTCAAATGTTTTGTAAGGGTTTGAAAAGGGTGTTGATGGCATAACTATGGGTGGGTGGGTTGCATTTGGGCAGGGTGAAGAATGGATGCGTGATCTGCCTGGAGACTGAGGACGTGGAAGCTGCAGTCGCCAAGGCTGTGAAAGCCGGTGCTGTCTCAGAGGGCGAAGAAGTCGCTGAGGGTGATGGCGCGTGCTGCGGTGAGCGCGTGAACAAGCTGAAGGACCCCTATGGCTTCGTTTGGCTGATTTGCTCTCCCGCTAAGAAGTCTGCTGACGTGGAGTCCTAAACATCGTCCGATCTACTTACACTGTTTTGCTTAGTAGTATGTTTTTGTTTCGAATTAATAGCTTCTAGGCTGCTCTATAGGTATGGCTCGGAATTGACTATTTGATACGCCATGAACAAGGTGTTTGGTTGATGCTTTTGAAAAATGAGACCTGGATTAACTACTCTTATCTTCTATTTGACAGCTGGCAGCTGTTAACAGCATTGTTTGAAATTCTATCATTATAGGCATATAATCCAGCCACGATCAAGGGTATTTTCGACTTTTATGCATGTATGCGATGGTTGTGTGTGTACTAGGTGTTCATTGCTTGACCTCGTTAGACGATAATATCTTGCTTTCATGCTCTGATATTATTTTCTCTACTGACTGCACAGAATAGGTAGAAATGTGCGTCGCGTATGTATCTGCATGCAAGTATGCGCGTGGGCAATTGGATTTGAACTGTGCAAGATATGTGGTCCAAATGTTGGGTATCTGGCCTGGTTGGGGTTAATGGGCTTTCTCGTTAGTGCTGGTTAACGAGTTGGTGAAGCTTTGTTGCATCTATTAATTAGTTCAATTCTAACCAAGTATGAAAAGGTGTTACAGTTTCAGATGTCTTTTATATTCGTGTTGGTGCGAATGTATTAATTTCGTGACTTTTTTAGAGCTTGGACTTCGAAGATAATTTATTTTTTTTGGTAGACAGATTGTTTGTTGCCATTTAAAAACTTGAGTCGACTTTTTGTATCTTCCCTACTTTTAATCGAATGGGTTAAAGGTTGAGACTATGGATGCATATGTCTGCCTAATTATTATTGTTCCTTTAATTATTAATTATTTGTAGTTTATAATATTTTTAATACCAAATACAACAAGGATATCTATCATCCATCAACAACACGCATATGAAATAATGAAATTATAAACATAAATATGGACAAACATATATATATATATATATATATTTTCGTGTGTTTGTTGTATGTGTAATAGCTTTTAAATTCAAGTATTCTCTCAACATCTAGAAGAATCGCCAAAAAATTGTAAGCTGTTGACAGCAATTAATCGCGTACGTTTTTCGTCGCTCTTTTTATATATATAAATGAAAAACATGTTCATAGAAATAATAAGTACATATGCAGTAATACTTTGTTTTATTTGTTGGGGTTAAGTTTGCAGAAGTACGTTGTTGTTACCGCTTTTGCATCTTAAAAACTCTCGAATCTTAGCTAGCTTGCCTTGCGCTCTTCGTCAAAGCTGTAAGGCAAGGCTGTTACAGTTGACGATTTAGAAAGAACAAAGCCTTTTCTTTAATGTATTTGGGGAGTATTAATTCAGTATCAATCATATGCCGATTAATCACACCACGGACTGACTTCAAAGGAACTGGGAATTTTCCGGCCACCATTAATCACCGGCCGGCATGAACCTAGCTCTAAAACTGTGTGTTACTTATTATGTTGTTTTCATGGCCCAATTGTCAATCACTGCTGTACTCGTTTTATCGAATGAGATTGAAGACTACTATCCAGACGAAAGAGATGCTTTGATGCAACTGAGAGATTTTGTGAATTCTACCTCCGATTTGCATGGAAATTGGACAGGTCCTCCTTGTATCAACAATCTGAGCAGATATGTAGGCATTGCTTGTTCGAATTGGCACGTGACAAGCCTCGTCTTAGAAGGAATACAGATCACAGGTTCCCTCCCACCTCAAGCATTCCTGCAAAACTTGACTCATCTAAGTAAACTCAGCTTTAGAAATAATTCAATCTATGGCCCTCTTCCCAATCTCACCAATCTCTTGAACATTGAATTCTTGTTCCTTTCACACAACCGGTTCTCGGGTTCAATCCCATCAGAGTACACTCGATTGCCCAAGTTAAGCCAGCTAGAGCTGCAAGAGAATGATCTTGGTGGTGGAATCCCAGCTTTTGATCAACAAACTTTGACGGTTTTCAATGTCTCCTACAATCGTCTTGAAGGCCCAATCCCAGACACTGATGTGCTTCAAAGATTCCCAAAAAGTTCTTATGATAATAATTCTGATTTGTGTGGCAGACCTTTGGGAATTCAGTGTCCAGCTCCTCCTCCTAATCCAGCTCCTGCACCTTCTCCTTTGCCGACTCCATCAAACCACAAGAACAAGGGGCCTCTCCAACTGTGGAGTATTGTCCTAATTGTAGCTGCAGCAGTTCTGGTTCCTCTCTTCGTCATGCTTGCTGTTTTCTTGTGCCGTCGTAGGAAACAACATGGAAAGGAAGCAAAAAGGGATCAGCCTGCAGGTATTATTATATATTAAGTATGTAGTTAAAATTAAATGAGTTTGTGCACAGAAATTAAATTTAGTACAAAATCAATTGCTTATATGTTTGTAGATATTGTTTGAGTTAAATTTCATCCAAAAATTAATTTTCTTAATTTGTGTTCTTGATAGGAGAAGTTTTGGCAGAGGGTGGAAGAAAGAAAAGGCATTGGTCGGAAAGCACTGAGGATCCTGAAAGGACTGTAGAATTAGAGTTTTTGGACAAGGATAGACCGGTGTTTGACTTGGACGACTTGCTAAGGGCATCAGCAGAAGTGATGGGGAAGGGGAAAATAGGGACTACATACAAAGCATTGCTGGAATTGGGTCCTGCTGTCGCTGTGAAGAGAGTTAAAGACATGAATGGACTGAGCAAGAAGGAATTTATCCAGCAAATGCAATTGATAGGAAAAATGAGCAAGCATGAAAATCTTGTCGAGATTATTTCTTTCTACTACTCCAAGGAGGAGAAGCTAGTTATATTCGAGTTTGTTCCCGATGGAGATTTGTTTGAGCTCTTACATGGTTAGTTCTAGCTTCCTTCTTTTTTTTTTCTCCTCAAGGAAATGCATAGCTTGATTGACATATACAAGATAGTAATAGATTAATTTGATAATTATTTGACTTCCCAATATTTTGGGTACCTATTGATAGAGAACAGAGGAGTTGGAAGAGTACCATTGAATTGGGTAACAAGGCTATCTATAATCAAAGACATAGCCAAGGGTCTCAATTTTCTACACCAATCCTTGCCTTCACACAAGGTGCCTCATGCCAACCTTAAATCTTCAAATGTACTTATAATGAAGCGCGACAACCAAAACTACCAGTCGAAGCTCACAGACTTTGGCTTCTTGCCCCTCCTGCCATCGCGAAGATCCTCCCAAAAGCTGGCTGTTGGGAAAGTACCCGAATTCTCTCAAGGGAAGAAGTTGACACACAAAGCCGATGTGTACTGTTTCGGCATTATTGTTCTAGAGGTCATTACTGGGAAAATCCCAGGTCAAATCTCAGGTGGAATTGAAAATAAGTTGGTGATTGATGATCTTTCGGATTGGGTGAGAACTGTTGTTAACAACGATTGGTCAACAGATATATTGGATATGGAGATATTGGGAGCAAAAGAAGGGCATGATGAGATGTTGAAACTCACAGAGATAGCTCTGGAGTGTACGGACATGGCACCAGAGAGGAGGCCAAAGATGAGTGAAGTGTTGAGAAGAATAGAAGATATTATACTTCATCAGACAAGTGAAGGAACAGAATCATTAAATTAAATAGATGGTGATGTAGAGTTAGTTACATAAGAATAGCTTTTTCCATTAATTCTTTGAAGAGCTTTTGTTTGTGCTTTTTAAGAGTGTCTCAATTCCAACATAAGCTGTTGACATTGATTCTTTTCGACTTGTGATCCATTGTTTTCTGTGAATAATGATACTTGTAAGTTGTTTGATCACATTATGTATCAAAGGAGAATTTTACTTTTGGTGTGACATGAACAACAACTGGTCAGACAAGATGCAATAAACTAAATTTGGTAGTTTGTTTTTGTTGCAAGATTAAGTTTGGTTCTAAACAAATAAGGAACCTGAAGGACAGGAAAATGAGACATAGTTTAAATGGTGTTTGGTTTAAAAATGAGGAGGAAAGAAAAATGAAATCGAAGGAGAAGAAAGGATAAAAACATGATTTCTGTTTATGTTTCTGCTTTTTAAGAATTGACAACAGAAAACATTTCCGGTTATAGGTTCCCTTCAAGTGGTGTTTTTGCTACCTTTCAGAAAATTGTAGGAAACTGGGAAAGAAAGGATGAAAGACTTGGTGATTATGTATTTTTATAACAAGTAAATTCTTTTCATATTTGTCATCACCCACAATAGAATTTTTTTTTTTTTTTTTTTCCTCTTTAAATATATATATTTTTAAATATCAAGAGATATTACTATTGTTTCCTTTCTTTTTTCTTATTTAGTCACTTAAAATAGAGAAGATGTATTACTAATTGTTCTTTTATTTCGTTTTTTTCCTTATCCAAATGAATTGTTAGTGTAGTATGAAATTATAATATCACTTGAAAATATAAGGACTCAATGTTATGGATTGAACCGGGCAATAGCGTAGTAGGTAGAACACCCAGCTTTCCGAGATGGGTGTGCCTATATTCTAATCCTCTCCCCTAATTTGCCCCCAAAAAAAAAAAAAAGGAAGTCACGGACTGAACTGATGTTTGAAGAACTTCCATTTTGATATCGTGGTCATATCAAGCCCACATGCCTAGAGTGTGAGGGGTGAAGCTTGGTAAACTTCACAAGGCCTGGCATAGCATCAAAATAACTAATAAAAGAATTGGGTTAGGTCAAAGTCAGGCCCGTTTCTATGCATCGAAAGACTCTTGCTGGTTGGATTCAACTTTGATCAATTTATACTCTCCATTATATGGTACTAAAGTACTCAATAACTCAATAACAGCTGGCTAAAACATTTTAAAATGAATATAATTTTATTTCAATTAGAAGAAGAAAAAAAAAACAACAAACAGTAAACCATCACAACCCTCTCTACCCTATATGCAGATGACACAAGCATGTTCTTTCTCTAAATTCTTCTTTCTATGTATGTGTATAATCTATGAGAACTGCTCTTCACAACCTTCTCCTTTCTTCCTTCTTTTTCCTTCCTTTTGTTCCCACACTTGTGATTTTGATCTCACCCCTTATTCTTTTTAATTGAATTTTTGAAGGATATAATATGCTTGCTTTCCTTGTATATATATATATGGCCTAAAGTAATTTTTTTTTGGCTCTCAAATGCAAACCCAGAATACAATTAGGGTTTTATTTTTAAATATTTCCTCACTTTCATTTTTTTTTTTTTTTTGGTGCATTTTTTTTAATAATTTTCACCCATAATTACCCATTTGAATGACACTTCCTATACGAATATTCTTTGAATTGAGTTTGCTATTTTTGATGTCACATAAAAAAATATTCACAAACATATTAATAAAGAATATTGACGTATGAAGAAAAAAAAATATATATATATATAGAACAGAGAGCCGGAGAAGAGTTTTACGTGGCAACATTTAGAGTCGGCAAATGGACCCAACATTCTAATTGGGGAGAGAGAGAAACAGTGATATATTTCCATATCTGATATGGTAGTTGTGATATTTGAGGGAAAAAAAAAATATTTATTTATTTATAAAATTAAGAATAAAAGTATTATTTCTTTTTAGAATGTAGTGCATGTATTAAAATGTGAAATGCAAATATGGCCTCAAAAAATTTAAATGATCATTAAAATTAATTGATGAATAAAATTTTACTTTCTAAAATGAGATTAATTTTTAATTAATAGTTGTTTTATGCTAAGTCATAAGAAGAAAAAGTGAGAACGAATTCAAATACATAAAATTAAGAATGTGTATGAAATATAAAAGCGACACCAATTAAATAAATAAAACTTAATTGATGTTAGGGAAATATTTTGAATTAATGGCATCATCTCATAAGCAATAGGACGTCTTTGCTTTATTTGCCAGCATATGGACCCACAACATGTGCCCCCAATGGAGTCAAATGTGAATGGCAGGCAAAGCTTTCCAAAGCGATGCATCACACGCTACTTTAGTATAAATCCCATCAAAGAACCCACCATTCCTTCTCGGCCCATCTTTGGACCCGCAAAATTCGTCAATCTGACCACTACCTGATTGACACGTGGAATGGCATTGATTCTGTGGAGTTTTAAAGCTATCAATGATCAAGGTTTCCAAAGATTACCTTTGCTTTCCCTCACCCTCTCTCTCTCTCTCCCTCTCTCTCTCTTTATTCGTTGGATTTGTTCTCTTCCTTTTGCATCAACTTACTTAATTCTTAAATAAAAAATGTAATAACCAAATAACATTCTCTATAACATCTTCTAATTATTCATCTGAATTCTGAACTCATCCTATAATGTGGGAATTAATTATTTAATTTTTTTATATGAAAAGAATACAAAGACCACTCCCACTATACTTCATTACTTTTCATGTATTCTCCTTATTTTTATAATTTTAAGTGATTTTTTATGTGTGCTTAAACAAAATTGTGAAGGTTGTAGCTTGTTAGAGTCCAAATTAATACTATGATTTGTTTGATTTAGTTTTCTGAATATAATTTTTGAAGAAAATTTTTAAGGCAGAAATCAATTTTCGTAAAATAAAATATCACTTGTAATTTGATTATTGAAGTCTATTTTTAGAGAAAAAATTTCATAGAACTATCAATTAAATGAATTTCTGAAGTGATTTTTGTGTTTTTTTTCCTTTGAAAATAAAAATTATTCTAAAAAAATAATAATTAAAAAAAAATCTGAATAAAAAAAGAAAAGAAAAGAAGAACCTAAAGCATGAGCAGAATCTACATAATTGCACTAAGTATTCAAATAATTGACATGAATACATGAGATCGAGGATGCCCACTGATCAAACAACAGTGGCTTTGCATATAAATAGGCTATTCCTCTCTTCACTTCATGTCTTACTACTTAATTGTGTACTTGTGTGTACCTCCTTCAAACCTCAGCTTCACCTTTCCCCATATTCTAACTCCCAACCTAATTCCTTCATGGCCTCCCTTCAGGTTCCTCTCTCTCTCTCTCTCTCACACACACACACACACAAACATATTGTTCTTAATCTTGGTGCATAAATAGCTCTTATGCTTTTAATTTTGTGTTTTAAAGTAACTGTTATGCTTTTATTATTACAATAAGCTTTATGTAAAAGCATTTTGCTATTGATGATACTATTCATGCATCATCAAGAATTTATTGAACTATCTGTCCTGTCATGCTACAGTTCAGAAAAAAATTATATATTACAATACTATATATGATCGATATATAGCATATAGGTGAGCATGCATATATATACTGAAATTTACAATATAAAAATTTTCTGAATGGTTAGCATGTATAAATTATAATGTTTGTATGTAGTCGATGAAATATGTAATAATAAGTTTGTAACATATATATGTGCTGTATAGGTTGATGCTGCTCATGAGCATGATCTTGATGACGAGCATGATCATGAGGAAGTGGTGACCAAAGAGGCAGAAGAAATAACGCAGAAGAAATCTCCAAGTGTTGAAGAAACACCAGATAGTGAATTGGGCATTGTGGAACCGGACACAGAGCTTGAAGAACCGGCCGATCATGAAGACAAAGAAGAGAAACCAGACGATGATGAAGACGAACCGATCGTTGATCATGATGATGAAGGTGCACCAGTTACTGGGGTGACTGAGTTCGATGAGGATGAAGAGGAATAATAATAAGGCTAAACGTAGAAGCTAGTAGTGTTAATTTGCATGAATGATGTTTCTTCTAATTAGCAAGCTTGGGAAGTAATTCTATGTGTTTTGAAGTGATTGCTTATTTTGCGCGCTATAAGCCAGGCTACTGTGCTGAATAGCTAGCTAGCTTTTAAATATGATGATGAAGGTATGTATGTGCTGCTTATTGCTATGGTTTTTCTAATATAATTTATCAACTAATCCATGCTCTCCCAGCTTTTTTTGTTGTTTGAGTAAAAAAAAGTTGTATTAATTGATTCATTCTTAAATTTGTACTACAATTGGCACTTCACCATCTTCCATGGCTTACCTACCTTCTTATAATACTCTTTCCTCCTCACAAACCTGTCCAAATCATCTATTATCATCTTCTTCATTTCTGGCTCCATTGCCAACTTCTCAAACGTCGCCGGATGGTCCAGAATGATCAATCACAAACTCCCCCATCACCACCTTCGTCAGGTATACCACAATTTTTGGTCTAAAACTTTATTACCTTGTCAGTGTCCTTGATTTCTTTGGCTTTCTTCAAAACGAAAGGCAAGTATTTCTCGAGTACTTCGTCTTTGAATTTGTTGTGGAAGCAGAGATCCAAGAATCGCTTTTCAACGTGTCCGGACTCGATCGAGACCATTCTCCATCTGAGATTGATGTCTCCGAACTAGTCGATCAATTCTTCGTCCTCTTCGATTGCAACGCTGAGATTCTTCTGTTTGGGTGACTGGGTGACTTTGAATCGTTTGGTGGAGGGGCTGATCATGGTGGGGAGGTAGATCTCGGCGGCGTTGTAGATTTCATTGCTGGGGAATCCGCATTCATTGTCGATGACTATGGTGAGTACGTTCATTGGAGCGTGGTGTGAAGAGGTAACGGATGCCTGATTCGAGGTAGGACCAAACAGGGTCGGGGATTTCTTTGGCCATGGTACAAATCAGCATCATCGCACCAGCCAGCGAAGCGCAGGCCGATTACAGGTTCGACATCGTCGACGGCATTTCTGACCGACAAAACGTAGTTGGAAATCGGTGAGTTTGCCTGTCTTGGAGACTCAATATAGATAGAGTGAATGATCCTATAGAGAGAAACAAGAACGAAAAAGAGGGGTACGTAGTTGCAAAGAAACTATATACATTCATAGGAACTTTCCTAACTTTGCTGTCTGAAAAACTCTTAATCGTTGGACTACTATAGCAAATTTTTAGACTTTTGATGGTAGAAAATTTATCAATATAGATGAAACGTCTCTGTTTAATGGTTCTTCTGCTTACGTGAGGAGGTATTAGGATGATTTGATAAAATAAAATAATAATAATAATAAAATTGATGTTGTTGTACACGTTACCATTCTTAAAGAAACTGTACAAACTTAAACTTCTATATAGATATTGCAAGTCAAACACATATTTCAACATTTCATAATTTGAATTTTAATCATTCTAATAACCCTTAAACTTTATTAATACAAATAAATCGTTTCACAGCTTATGACTTTCTACTTTAAGCCCTCTTGCTTAGGAATCGCAAAATGCTCATTTTTTAGGATGACAAAAAAACTCATGCGGCCACTGCTAGTCACACTCGTTAGCGGCAGCTCAATGGCTTTCTGGTATTGACACCTATAGTTACTTTGACGTGATTAGTTCAGGCTGCAGTCAACTATATTTAAGTCTTTTATTTGTTATTGCTATGAATGTAATATTTTATGTCTATAGGAAGAAAAAGAAAAAAAAAAAAAAAAAAACGAAGAGAAATCTTATTATTATTTTTATTTTGTCATCTTCAATAATTCAGTGTTAATCTCGGGCAAGTGAAATTTATTTACATTCTATTTCAAAGATTGAACTGGTGGGCTTTTGTCGGAAAGGAGCGCAAAAAAAAAACGTAGGTAGATCATTTTTGGACAGTGGAGCCCAATTTAAGCCCATTTGGCTCGGAAAGTATAAGCTGACCCACTCTGTAGCCCAACCCATTCTCCACCAGTTAGAGAATCTCTGGTAGCAGTGGGCCTAGTGGCACAGATGATCCAAACAGCCCCCTAATTTACTCATAGTCTTTTACCGATTTATTTCATTTTTCATATCAAAGAGTGACATAAAGGCTCAATCCTTCTTGGATTAAATAACTTGAAAAAAATGAAATGTTACATAAGAGAGGGTACAAACACAAATGTTAACATTTCAAATTAGCCTAAAAAACTGCCTATTTCACAAAATTTCAAATAGCTATTTGCCTTGCTTTGCATTAGCTAATTAAAGCCTTAAACCTGTTCTAAACACCTTCTCCAAAGTAATTGATGCACATCTAATTTGATAATGTTTTTAGAAATCTTCATCAAAAGCACTATTTGCTAGTTTAAACTCTCAAAATCATTTGGAAGAATCACTACAGAAGTATATGGAGTCCGGAGCCTCTTCTATGGCATTCTCATTTGTTTAAATTTCAACACATAAAACAAATATATTAAAGGGTAAAGTGCAATAAACCCCCTTCAGCTATACCCTAAGTGCAACTAACCCCCCTCAACTACAAAAAACCTTCCTCAACTATGGTCTTGATGTAGTCTTAGGATAGAGAGTGTTCTTCAAGTCATTTCTAGCTACCGAAAATTTAAAAAGTCTAATTTACCCATCCATAAAACAGTGCCACATCGCAGTGAGGACAATTAGAATACATGGAGGACACGTGTCAGCAGCCTATTGGCTGATGAGTTTATTATTATTTTTCCTTTTCTTTATCCTCAACTGGGTCACTTCTTAATACCCTTTCTCTCTCTAACTCGTCCCTGTCCCTATCCCAACCGCCAAATTGAAACGCGATGAACCCCCAAATTGAAAAGGCGACGACGAAACGGGCAATTGACAGAACGGCGGGCAAGGCGGTGACGAGCTTGGCTGTGGCGGCTTGATGGAGACAGGCTGGCTATGACGGCGAGGTGGAGACGGCCTGGCTGTGACGGTGAGGTGGAGACGGCCTGGCTGTGACGGCGAGGCAGGTGAAGGGCTCGGCTGACTCAGCCATGAACGACTCGCGGTGGCGAGCTTGGCGGGATTGAACGACGGCCGAACTCACGGCGAGCAAGGAGGCTTTGGACGGTGGAGAGGATGAAGACAGCCTCGGCGGTTTCGGCTTTAGATGATGTCGGCTGTGTGGATGGCGGGTGGTGCAGCGGCGGTAATGGACCGGCGAGGGCTCAGCCTTGAGGAAGAAATGCGGCGGTGGTTGGGTTTTGCAAATCAGTTCTTTGCGATTGGGTTTGCTTGTGATTGGGGTTGAGAATCAGTTCTGTTATTGTTGAAATCGAATTTCTCATCTTCCAGATGAAAACTTGCCATGAATATGGACGGGCATGTGCACACGACCTATATATATATATATAGAGAGAGAGAGAGAGAAAGAGGTTCCATTAAACAAAATATATATATATATATATATATATAGATAGATGTATACATATATAGGTAGATAGAGATCTACTCCACACATCGATGAGGAAGGAGGACAAAATGTTAGGGCTTGTTTCGATGCTAGTTGGGTCCAAATGTATTTAAAGGGTATTATGGTCTTTTACATTCCATAAGGGCTCTATGGTCATTTAGATAAACGTGGGCTATCACGTGCCAGCCATATGTTAGAAATTCATCAACCGGTTGCCGGATTGGGTGAAGTGCAACCAAATAACATATTTTAAGGGGGTTTTATGCTATTTTAGAAATCTAGGGGGATTTTTTGCCCATTAGGATATAATTGAGGGAGATTTATTGCACTTTACTCTATATTAAATCACAACTTAAGTATTTTCAATACCGTTAATACGCATTTCAACTTAAGTAGAGTCAATTTTTTTAAAGCATATTACAACAGCCAAGTATACAGACATGAAAAGGAAAAAAAAAAAAATAATAATAATAATAATAAAATGATCTATTGATCTTAACTTTACGTTACCTAGAAATTCAAGTGTATTCTGAAAATAAATGAACTATGGTAAGTTTCTTTTAGCCTCCTTAAAATTATCTACCACTGTCCGTACAACGGAATCCGAAGCAACAAAGACTAAGAAAAAGAAGAGCACATATATGACTCGCACAACATTCACGTCTTTACCAATTAGAAATTTATTAGGAGTAGATCTTCTAAACACTTAGTGTAGTTCATGAATTTAACTTGAAACGGGATCTTTTGGCTCAACTTTATCCCAATTTTACCAAGAGAGCAACCCCGTTTTTTACCTTGAATTGTTCAAAATATGCCGAATTTCTTACTTTTCGTAGAGTTGGTAGCCATGAAATTGGAAAAAAGCCACTCAAAAAATTAAATTAATATTTTTTTTAATTCTATAAATTTAAATTGCAAAACTCGAATACTATACCACCAAACATAAACATAGTCCAAAGTCATTATCCAATACCGTCAGACCTTATCGACTGCAAGGTCAGGGAGTAAAGATTCAGACTGGTGTGGTGCAGCCAATACAGTGTTGACTGTTGACTTGTGGACGTCTTCTTCTTCTTCACCAATTGATTTATTATTATTGGTGAAAATGCACAGAGCACAAAGTTTGTAGTCTGGTACGCGTGTGGGGCTAAAAAGCCAATTTCAAGCATTGCTTTAGAAACAAACTTTATCAGTTTTCATTAGAATATGCACTGACAGATCAATCACCTAAAAACAACACAAAGCAATTACCCTCCTTCCTTGTTAAAAAGAAGTGTAATTTACCCCTAAATAAAGCAAAAGTAAAGCAACCCTTCTATCCCTATACACTTGCCCATCTGCAATTCTGTCTGTTACTGTGAAACATGAGTATCTGGGCTGCTTTCTTTTTCTTTTTTCTCTCTCTCTCTACTAAAAGTATTTAATTTGTTGGATGCACATACCTACTTTTATTTTTCTCCCCTAAACTTTTAAACCCCAAATTTCAAACATTTTGAGGTGTCTTTCTTGGAAAAAAAAAAAGGGGAAAAAAAATCATTTTGTAAGAAGATATATTTAACCATTTTAATTAGTATACTTCTGTAAATTGAACTCAACTTCTAAATCACAACCTTTCGTCAAATATATCTTTTTTACTTCTCTCTACGTGTAATCTTCTTTATATATATCAAATATATATATATTTATATTTAGTCAATATTTGTAATACAGTTTATTGTTAATTTATGAAATGTTTATAATTGTTACATGGAAAATGTGAATGGGACAAGTCCTCTGTTTTAAAAGCATTGTCCTTGTTATATTACATACTCACTCTATGTATCTCTCGCTTATTCTTCCTTTAAAACTCACTCACTCCCATTATTCCATACATCAGAAAGAAAGGAACAAAGAAAGATAAGTCATTTTAACAACTCCCTCTCAGACTCACACTTGAATCTCCATTCTCCAACATTCTAACACTTGTTTCTTGAAGCGCAAATGGATGTAAGAATTATTTACTGTGCTCCACTTCTCCATACTGATATATTTCTTTCTTTATTGCAATACATATACGTGTGTGTGAACTGTGTACTTTTCTTTTTTAATGGTGCTTCCATATACAGGACTACAGGAGGAGTCATGTCCCGGCATTCGGTAGCTGGGATTACACCGGCGACCTCCCTTTCACTCAGTGTTTCGAATCGGCAAGGCAAGCGGGATTGCTTCGGCACAGTTACTCTGAAGATCGCGATCTCTACGTTGCCGGCGACTTATATGACAACCATGTGCTCACTCCGGCCATGATTGTTGTTCCTCGCAGGAGGAGGGTATGTTCAAAACATTGTTTTCAAAGCAAAAACTATTTTTATTCCACTTTAACAATTTTCTTTCCATATGAATGGTGTCCATAATACATAATTTTGCAGGCAAAAGCACGCGATCCACATGTGAAAGAAGCCAAGAAAGAAAATCATGAGTGGGTGGTGTGTGATACTGATGATGATATGAAACAACCATCTCCTCCACCAAGACAAGTTGTTGATGAAGATTTGTACAAGATCTCACCGGGGCTTCTCCATCAAAAATCCAAAAGGGTGAGTCCAAGTTAACAGTTACATAGATGTTTTTATGTCAATTTTTTTTTTTTTTTTTTTTTTATAATTATTATTAATTTTGTTTTTTGTTTTTTGTTTTATTTTCTAAAAATGTTGCAGAACAGAACATGGTGCTTGTTTTCAAGCTGCTTGCTGCCAATCTGTTACTAGTGAAGCTTACATTCCTACGTAAATATATGGATAATGAGAAGAATATATAATTACACACACACATATATATATATGTGTGTGTGTTGTTAAGTTGATGTACTTTGTTTTCCACATGAAAGGCCAAGAGGATAAATTCATCATTATTATCATGTGATAATGAAAAATGATAACAACTCTTCTTGTTAATGGTTTGATATTTCCTCTTTTAAGTGAACTTTTGGGACTTACTGTTTTCTGTATCTGCCTATCTATTGTTAAAGCTGAACTTCAAAGTAGAGAGAGCTATAACACTAGTGTTGGAATTTGGGCTATATGCAAGAAAGGCTGTGTAAAGCGAAAGAGTTGGTATATTAAATTTTTGAACTATCTTTATATAGTATTATATGTCCTTGTCAATCCACTTTTGTTCTATGAATTAGAGCCATAATTTTCTTAACTGAGAGTGTATTGAGAGGGACTAGTTGTACACTTAAGTATCATTAGTGATTCTTTGTCCTGGGTGATTATATTCTTTACTTAAATATGCCTTACTTTAATCACAGAATTCATCCATCGTGACTTAACCATTTTTTTCGGTAGATAAATTTTTTTTAAAAAAAATTATTAAATGATCCTAAATCATTAATACTTAATGGATCAATTAAATACAGAAAGTGTATTAATATATTACAAAGTTTCATAATCAACGGGCTTTCTTTGAATTAGTTTACTAAGTGTGCGGATTGAAATAGGCACTAAAATAGTTTAGCCCCTGCAAAAAAATTGCTGACAAAATAGCGAATAATCCTTGCATTTTATTGAATTAATGTAGAAGCAACTAAAAGGTATATATATCAGTTATATGGCCAAATTTAAAAAGGCTAGCACCATAAAAGAAAATGAACATGCAACAAAGGTGCACCTATTATGGGGGTCTCAACTTAAAAAGTGCAACTATTAAATTGTAGTTGTAGTGTGCAGCACCCCTAACTTGGTTGCTCAATGGACCACGCTCCGTTTTTTGTTTGGGTGCAAAAAGCTTCTTTTTATTCCTTTTCCTTTTTCTTTTTCTTTTCTATGGAAGATTAGTCATATAGGGAGCAAAAAGAGGTAGTAGTGCCCACGAAATGTCAAAACGAGACTTGAAAATTTGTGAAAGGAGACGAAAAAAAAAAAAAGTGTGATGCTAATAATGCCGAGACAAACAATTGAAATAAATAGCAGCTCAATTATAATAGTAATTTATAACGAATTCTACATTCTTTTCCCAAAATAATGAGTACAATATTATCAGACTAATACAAACGTGTAGAACTGGAGTGATTTAAGCGTGAGTTTCTTGTCAGAAAATATCATAATAATGATACCTACACATGTTGCGTATGCATATTTATATGGTAGTTGTATCAATTCTAGGCGTGAACCATCCAAATCAACTGTTTACGTTCTACAGTAAACCTATCTACTTTGATTTGTTAAAGATCTACTTCCTCCTGATGAAGTTGACACAACGGTCTCGAATCTCCCGTCTGCTTTCTTTTAATATGGTATACAAGTTTTCAGTTCTTGCAAGGAATATTCTTCATACATGGATGAACAAACAAGTTATATTTTGACCAATGTGCTTTCTTTTAAGAACTAAATCATTAACATAACCTTCCGAAATATAAAATAAAATAAATCAAAATTTAGTTATTTAAAAATAGTAGATCCAATATATATATATATATATATATATATATGCAAGTACAAAAAGGGCTCATAACCTAAATTTGGATAATTTTTTTACTTTAAAATCATAGTAGGATAAATAGCAAAGAAAAGGGTTATTTGCGAAAAAAATTATAGTTTAGGAGGGTTTTTTGAAGTTCAAAGTGGTTATTTGCAGAATAATTCAAGAGATTTAATGAGAAATGCTGTTCATGGCAACAGAGTTGGTGCCTTCGAATATTTGATATGACGATAATTACAACTTTGCTGCTCATAATTTATAGCCCACACATCTTTGCAATTGTTTCTCTGGCATTTTAAGACTTTGGAGCTCTTTATACAACTATAGCATGTAGAGTAGAGTGTGCCACCTGACCACTTGTGTATGTTGAAAATGATATCTGACCAAACTTTGAAGCTTTATACAACTATAGCATGTACAGAGTGCCACCTGAACACCGGCAATGCATCAATTAACACTTTGCAGTATTGAACATAATCTCTCTCACACCGCTTCATTAAACGGGAGAAATACAATTACACATATTGATTGTATATAACTAAATCATGAAGCTTGCAAAGCCCTCACTCTAGCAGTCAACTCTCTAACTTTACTCCTCAAAAGCTCAGGATTGCAGAAAAAATCAACAAAAACCCGCCTCTGAAGCCCCAACTCTTGAGAGTGATGTTTTACAATCTGTGATCCAAAGGGATGAGGATGATTAAGATTATGCAGATACAGCGTATACCAAAAAAAAAAAAAAAAAGGTTTAGCAACAACTGAAAGGCATCAAAATATATCAACTTCCCAACCCAAACCACCATTTTTATCCTTCAAGAGAAAATTCATGTACGCTCCACTTAGATGTTACCACATTCTGATCTTAAGGATCACTGGGGTTGTTTATTCAAAACTGCATCCACTTATTCAATCTAACAATCTACATCGGTAATGGACCTATATCTTGAAAATTAAAGTAACCCAAAAACGCACAAACATAGTATTACAAGTGATTTCACCATGGTAAACTATTCCAAATGCATCACAAATTTTTTTTTTTTTTTTTTTTTTCAAATGTGCACTGCACAAGTCATATTCCAAGTTTAATAATAAATTCATCCAAATGATAAAATACAAAAATATAACTGACATTACCTCATTCTTCTTACAATGCTCAAGCGTGACTTCTTCAACCGCAGCTGAGAGCTTCGCGTTGATCTTTTCCATTTCGTCAAGCTCTTTCATTAATGGCTGATCAAAGAATGGAACATTTCGTGATCAAAACTATCACTAGAAATGTGCGTGCGCGTGCATGCTCATGATAAATACAATTCAATTGTTTTATAGCAATTTTTTTGTTTTCAATAGGTAAATAAATATACTCACGCACACATGCCCCTACTGGAACTTGAGGCCTCAACCTCCTCTCTAGAGAGGTGGAGAACGTACCACTTAAGTTGGGGCTTTGGTGGTTGTTTTACAGCAATATTTTGCTAGTAGAGAAAAACGAACAAATATCAGATGATTATGCTGCTCCTTAAAATATGAAATTTCAAGCAAAAGGTCCATCACATTATTGCTATGTTGAGTTGAGTTGAATTGAGTTTGAAATAACTTTGATTTCGGGACTCATTTCTCTCACACTGCATCTATTTAAATGTGAAAAGATTTTTATGATTGTACAATTTCCCATTTCCAAAGTTGACTGGTCAACTAAAAGGTCGCTCAAATAGGATAAGATGGTAGGTAAGCATTTTCAGGAAATGAAGAAATATATTTAACCAATTCATACCGCAACAGGTTAGTTGAATTGTTTCATATGCACACTTATAAAGATTTTAATAGGAAGTGTTTTTCAAGGGTTTCACATAATTTCTGCTGCTACAGTTCCAAATTGACTCTGAGTAATGACATCGTCATATTAACAAGATGAAATAATAATAATAAAAAAAAAAAAAGGGCAATATGAATATGGGAAAAGCACATTCACAGTGTGTAACCAAACAACTACAATGCAATGGCATAATGGTGACAGTATACCCGAGGTGTCAGTATTGGTTGTGCAGTTGTTGATGACGCAAATAGTAGTTGCTGCAAACTTTGAATTAGAGTGCACCTAACACAATCAAACAGAGAAAAATGAGACGCTAGCTATAAGTTTGTGAGTTCTGGACAGCCTGAATACTTTTAATGACTATAAAAAAAAAAAGGGTAATTACCGCAGCAAGCATTTTGTAGAGAACTAAATCTTTAAAAATAATAATAAAAAAAAAAAAAGCATTAGTAACAGAATTTATTCAGAAAATAATTCTTTAAAATTTTAAAAATAATAATAATCAGTAACAAAATTTATTCAGAAAACAACCCACAAAATAATGATAAACACAAGATTTGCTGATCTGTCTCTATTTCTTTCCCAATTAGATGTCCATATCATATGAGGACCATGGCATTAGAATTTGAAATCATATTGCCACATTTATTGTACAAGTGATTTACTCTTAAAAGATTGTGCATTTGATGTATAGCTGATCCAATTCAAGATAGATTATTGATCTGTTTCCAAACCCTAATCAGTTATTATGAATCTACAACTCAATAGTTGAGACAATTTTGGCATGCATTGGCAATAGAACATCTAAGTCACATAAATTAAGGGTATGTTTAAATTATAAGCTCACTATGTTTAGCCAATGAAATCAATTAGCTGACTTCACATATATGATAGGCTCTGGAAGCCCAAATACAGGTTGTTTGTTGGCCCTTGAAAATCAAGAAGCCTTTTTGCTTGAAACAATGTCTCTATTGGTGAGTCAAGTCGTGATACATGTTCATTTAGGTCACTCGGCTGCTGTTAGTATACTTTAACTAAGTCCAAGTTATTCGGGGAATTCCACTTTTTTTTAGGTTTGGGCTATATGACAGTCTCCCAAAGAAACCACGGACACCATTGTTCAAAGAATTATTGAAGTAGAGGTAAGGGAAATGGTCGTAATAGTCATAGCTTCTTAGGTTTCAGAGATTTAGTGAAACAATGCATCTCAATAATATAAGAAATAAATAACATAAGTTCTAAATAAAATAAATCTCGACAATATGAGGTATAAATAATGTAAGTTATTTATCAGCTGCTGTTAGTTTTATTTATGAGATATAAATCATGTGGCTGTAATTTCTGTACAGCAACTAAGTGAGATATAAATATGAGATATCAGCTGCTGTTAGTTTTATTTATGTTATTTTATATTTTACTAAGTCCAAGTTATTAGGGGAATTCCATTTTTTTTTAGGTTTGGGCTATGACAGTCTCCCAAGAGTTCTCTTAGCCAGTTGTTTGGTGCAGTTGTATTACTGAACCTTAATGTGTGACTGGAAGGAACTTTAGGTTGTCTTAGATTCAAAAGAATGAAGTTCATAATTTTCAAGTCCAGGGCCAAGTAAAATCAGAAAACAATGCCCAGCCTATACATATGCACTTTTCAGCTCAATACTAAATCACTTGGAAGCAATTTCTACAACACAGAGTTTATTGTTGTTATCTTGCTTGATTAATCTCTAATTTTCGTTACGTTTTACAACCTAGATACCCACTTCCAGAAAACCCAACTCCTTTTGAACCCTTCAAGCCTATGTAACATTGCCTCTTCAAGAACCCATGTTGGACACATGACACTTGGACAAGGTATAGGATATGTTACATTAAAACGCCATTTTACTCTAGAAAATAGAAGAAAAATATTAAATAAAATGAATATTTAGCAATGCCTTTGGTCGTCTTCTCCTTTGGAATTTTATACATCCGACACTCAAAACACATAACCGCACCCGATACACGTATCAAGTTTAGGTTACGTAGCTTCAAGCTTTCATCCTGGCCTTTTAAACCTTCACTTAGTTGCTGTACAGAAATTCCAGCCACATGATTTCTGAAACTCCAATAAGTAACAACTTCAAATCTGAGACTATTTAACAGTTACCTTCTATAAAAGCAACCACGGACACCATTGTTCAAAGAATTATTGAAGTAGAGGTAAGGGAAATGGTCTAAATAGTCATAGCTTCTTAGGTTTCAGAGATTTAGTGAAACAATGCATCTCAATAATATAATAAATAAATAACATAAAAGCAACCACGGACACCATTGTTCAAAGAATTATTGAAGTAGAGGTAAGGGAAATGGTCGAAATAGTCATAGCTTCTTAGGTTTCACAGATTTAGTGAAACAATGCATCTCAATAATATAAGAAATAAATAACATAAGTTATAAATAAAATAAATCTCGACAATATGTGATATAAATAATGGAAGTCATTGCCCCCCTCCACACCCCCCGCGCCCCCACCCCCCCCCCCCCCCCAAACAAAAAAAAAGGGCAATCTACTTAAAAAAAATTTATTCACATCTCCTGCTGTCAAGAATTTTAAGGCTTATGCTAGTCATTCTTGAATAGTCAATGCTTGATTCTTAGATTTCTGCTATCTTCTTAAAAATTTATAAAGACCATTTATACACAGCTCGTTTTTTGTGGGCTAAAGGATAGCTGAAGTATTAACCAGCACGATGGAACCACCAGAAAGGAGACTATGAATGCATGACACTCATGTTTCCTCACTCATAACATAAGTTTATCAGAACTATGGATACACAGTTTTGTTGGACTGAATGATAACTAGATCATCAACCCACAACATGTGGTACGTTGAAATATACAATAAATAGATGTGGACATATGCAGAAGGTAAATTCACATTGATATCGCATCATAAAGGTACAAAACACATATAAGATGCCACTATGTAAGACAAATGCAAGAATGGTATTAGGGCAAAATAAATAATTTGCTTCAGCGAAGGAAGAATGACTAACAGCTCATTAATGCATCTGTTTCTGTCCTCTGGAAGGGCATTTTCTAGGTCAGACTGCAGGGTCATCAAATCTGAATGAAGGGTAGATATCTGCTGAACAATACCCGGCGCCGATACATATGTTGATGAACCAGCTTGAGCATCTAACAAAGCAGTGGCAGTAAGATATAACTTCGAAAATATGTGCATATTATCTGTATATTTTTAGGGCACAATTTTGAATCATATATAATATTTGTGTGTGTAGTATACATTTGATTATTTAAAGAACACATAGAGTCATTACTTGAATAAATACTTAAGAGGTCTCTAACACCATGGAGAAAAGTATCCCGATCGTCCACCGCTCCTTGTTCATGTACATCACTCGCAGCTTGATTTAACGCTAAACAATGACTCTATAACAATTATAACATTTATAAACAACAGAAAGTAAGTATAACAGTCGTTATGAAAATTATTTAAGACATTAAAATAAACATTCACGTTTCTTTTTAAAGCCATTGATACGAATAACTATTACATGAAAACATTATTTTAGCCATACATACCACTCGGCCTTTGGTTGCTGACAAGTAACTTTGAAGCTCTGATTCGATAACTTTAAGCAGTGAATATGCGCCAAGCATGGTCTTTTTTTCAAGCTGACAAGCTATTCTTAGAAACTGATGTCTTGCAAGCTGATTAATCAGATGATTTATGAACTGCCAAAAAATTGTCATTAAAATAAGAAGAACGTGAACACCGTAGTATAAGTAAATTAAATATTCCATGTTGATTAGCACATAACACCACACTAAGATCAATGCACCAGAAGGTGGCAAGGTGCTACTGCTAGGTAATACCGTAATAGGACCACAATGCAGCCTTGGTGATGCCAAACCAGCCACATTAGTTTGATTATGAATATATATAATTTCTGAACAAGTAATTATCAAGTCGCAACAATTATATGAAAGAAGTGACACTAATGAATAAGGACATTACTGCCAGAGAACCACCATGTCTCAAGTATAGATTATAGCATGACTGGTTTGTTTAACTGCTTGATCCAACAGATGGCTAATGGTAAATCAAAACATGAGAATATTTCACAGGCCTAAGATCTAATTTCTAAACTAGCCTTGAACAGGTTTATTAAACTAATGACTAAAAAGGCCAACTAATGTAGGTTCCACTAATGTCAGGTAGTGGGAGGGGTAATTTGGTACACTAACAAGTAATAACTAATGGTTAAAATTGTCAAGCCAGAAAAGAATAAAATTTAGACACCTAAAAACATGTATGTGCTTTTGGTTATATCAACATCTCTCAACAAAAGATATAAACAGTGCCAAATATCACATCATAGCGTAGCTGAACATACTGCTTTTTGCCGATTAATATAGTAATCTTGGCGCATGACCTTTAAATCATAGTCACCTACAAGTTCAAAATTAAAAATTAAATAATTTAATGCAAGAAGGGAGAGAGAAAAAAAAAAAAACAAAAACAAAAAAACAAACAAACAAAGTTAAATATTATTTAAACAAAAACGGAGTTGAAGATGGAATTAGTCCTGTAATTCTCCTTCTAGCCTTACAAGTAAAAATCATAACCACCAATACCTTGCAAAATGTATGTGTCTTGAAGTTGAGCCAGCTCCCAACAAAGGACTGGAATTGTCTGAAAAGAACAGGATTCCGTAATTAGTACACACATAAAAGTCACCCTCATGCAAAATCCAAATAAATGATAATGGTAATAGAAATTTTACAACTACAGAGAAGAAGTTAACTCATCCAGTTCATGTTAAAATTATTTGAGCAATGCATAGCTAACAAAAAAATGTGTAAAATAGAAAAAAGCACATTAATGAAGAACGACAATTAATTGGCAGGAATCTAGAGACATATTTATCTGCATTCTTTGTATTGTCGCAGCACAACAATCCGAAAGTGTTCCAACCGCATCTACCAGGTAGTTTTTCATCATGACAAGAACAAAATAATGCTGGAAATGCTTAAGAGTGTAAATTCACACCCCACCCCCCCCCCCCCCCCCCCCCCCCCCCCCCAAAACCAAACCCGCACAGGGCGCTTAAGAGTGTTTTTATTTATGTGCTTATACAAAATTAGTGATAAAACCTCCTAAAAGTAGCTCCTAATCATTTCAATACTCAGAAAATAATAATAATAATAAAAATGATTGAGGTAGAGTTATCAACCAATTACCAACTTTAGTAAGCACCTTGACGTATCTTCATCTGATATTTGAATTACTACAGTTACAGTAAAAAAATCAAGTGATTACTTGACTTTTTTCATCAATCTATAAAATAACCCAATATGTATTAAGTGATGACAGTCATAATGGGTATGTCAATCTGAATTTTCAGCAGCAGCTACGGTATCTAAATAATTATTACATTTACATGATATTCAAGATATGTCATGCGATATTGCAACAAAAACATAATCAAAGATCATAATTATTACATATCGTTAATTTTGAAAATGGAATCAGAAGGTATAGATGAATGACCAAATAGCAAGATTAGAAAAAGGAGTTGACTCAAGTGGGTAAGTCACTTGGCTCTCGTGCCTCAGGGAGCATTGGGTCTAAGGTTCGACTCCTCTTGGGTGCAGACAATTCATTTAAAGAAAGGGAAGGAGTAGTACCAACTAGGGGAAAAAAAACTAGTAACATTATAACTGCATAAACAGTCTAATTCTATTGCAACCATGGACAACTAGGAGTGATTCAAGACAGCTTGAAACTCCGGCAAGGTTATAATCCCTTCCGATTTTTACATATGCTACAGTATCACAGGCAAGGTCACTATCAAGATTCCATTCATATGTTAATACAAAGCATCTTAATGTGGTGATTTTATTCCCAATATAGTTTTCAATCTTTCTAAACCTTGACCTTGTTTAGTTTACGCTTCAAATTGAAGAGAGAGAGTTGATACTGATAGAAGCCAATTCCAATGATAACACAGAGAAACAAGCATTAACATGTATGGTATTATCATAGAGCATTTTGAGAGCAGAATATTTTTGTTTATATTAATCAACATCATAGAGAAGACAGCTAAAAGTAGTCACTTTAGCATATCAAACAAACTTCACATATTATTGCGTAAGTTGGCAATGGTTGCCGGTACAAACCTCAGATAACAATTTCTCTTCTTTGTGATGAAGATTTGAAAGTTCCCCCACCAATTCAGCATGCTTTCTCCTGCTCAATAACCAGAAAATATTAACTATCAGCCAACAAATATAAAAATCTTCCAAATAAAAGAGCATAATGACATCATGATATATATTACATATTTTGCTTGAAAATATGCTAATTCCGTACTCCCCTGGGATCACAAGTTCCTACCATCCACTTGGAGACTATGGTTTCTTATGGTTTTTCCTTTTACATTTTCCTTTTCTTTTAACTAACAACAAATAAGATTCATAATTAGTTGCCTAAATATGATTTATATTACATGCAACTCTCTCACTTATGTTTTGAAAAAGACACCTTCACCACTGCAATTGTAATAATTAAGGGATGTGTACTAGAAAAAAGGAATTGACTCTGATTTACAAAGTAAGAAAAAGATGTGAAATGACATATGGTGTGGAAAGAGAAATTCCTTTATTTATAATCAGCAAACGTTTTTAAAAATTTATTGATCCTCAAAGAATAAATCTTGCAAACATAATGGGAACAAGCACAATTATCAATTATAGTTAACAGTCCAGAATCAGATATAGAATAAAGAACTACCGTAGCGAATGAAGATCAAGATGAATATGGGCTTCATCTGAAGTTACTTGAGATTTAAGTGCCATGAGAATTGCTTGCTGCTTAGAATTCTCAACTTGGGCTTCCACCCACTGTCTTTCACTCGTTCCAAATCTGTCACAGTATTAAACAGTCCATAAGCCACAGGAAATCTAACCTTCTCAACAATCAATTTGGGTTGCGGGTAGGAGGGAATTCAAATTGACCTGATATCATGTCCGTGTAAGACCTTAAATGGGAGAGAGAGGAGGGTAAAACAACAAAGGAATGTATACATTAAGAGGAAAAAAGGCTAGTATTAGAGTGACAGAAAAATAATCAGGCCATGCAGCACCACCTTTTTCTTGTCCTGACTAAACTTGTACAACCTATCTTTGACAGCATTATAACCTCCTTGAAAATCCCATGACCAGAAACCAAACCATCATGGGGTAGGTAGAGTAATGCTTTGTAAAAGAAGCAAAAACCTTAAAAGGGATACAAAAAGTACATACATAGAGCGAAGCCGTTGCAATTCAGATACCCGTTGATGATGGGATTTTTCCATATCTGCTGAATCATAAAAAATACATATGTCAAAATATTGCTACTCTTTAGTATATAGAAGGTTAGTAACTTAACACAATGCAAATCCACACTTAGGATGTTGGCACGTTTGTGAATGTGCCTACCATTCAAATTCAAAGAATGTAATATGGTTTCTCTGAATCTGCTTCATCGGAGTAACAAGTATTTAAAAAATAAAAAATTCAAAATTCTTCTTTAATAAGTAAAATATTTGATGCCTATAACTATTACTGGCTTACAAACCCATATCAGAATTCCAATTTTCTGCTAAGGTTTTCCAATATTTTAGTCTTCGAAACAACAATAGCATTAAAAGTGAAAAGGAAAACAAAAAGTTAGAAATGCATTTCATCTTAGGCATACAGAGTAAATTCTGACTTATAAGTTATGTTTAGAAATGCATTTCATCTTAGGCATACAGACTAAATTCTGACTTATAAGTTATGTATCAATACCCATCTATTTATTTACATATATATAGTAGCGTTATGGAGGAAAGCTTGTCCCATAGCTTTCTATATTGCTGGTTTGGCAAGTTGTTCAGTAGATTTTTGAACCAATACACTGATCGGTGGTGTTATGTATTTTAGACAAGCATACGCTGCATAATTTATTAAATCCTATTCTTAGTGCTTGTACTGTAAATACGTCAATACATAACATCATAAATAAACATCATCCAATGAGGTAATTCAAAAGTGAAATACGAGTTTGTAAAAGCTTGCATTTGCAAGTTTAAAAAAAGCATAACAGAAAATAAAAAAAATACCTATGGGGCGCTACGTGAAAGCTTTCCAATTACATGGTTCACTATTGCTCTCTTATATTGACTTCAATTGACCATCATAAAAAATAATAACACTAATAATAATAAAATAAATAAATAAAACTAATAATTTCAAATGAAAAATATGAATGGAAAACAACCTATTGTTCCTTTTGAAGTCCTAAATAAAGCACATATCTTCTTTGTAAATAAGCAAAAAGGAAAATGAGGTCCTAAGGACCTCCCATGATAATGCAATGAAGCATCAACCTAAAAATGCATCCTCATTCTCCGTAAGACATTAACAGAAATCAAAGCCATGATGCTCCAACTACATGGTGAGGATAACTGAAGCCTTTTTTATACCTAAGGTCCTAAAGCCAAAACATCGCTCAACATCAAACACAATAAATTAATCATGTATAAGGATACCACAAATTTCATCATAATGCTTCCCACTAGTTCAACCCCAATGAATAATTCCAATATCAAGAAAAGAAAATATTATATGAAAGCAGCATATGGTAATTATTGCATGCAATATCCCTCCCCCCAACAAATAAATAATTTGTAACACTAGGCAAGCAACAGATGGTCATTGAAACAAGAAAAATCAGGTAACAATACAATAAAAAAGGAATCATAACATGCATAAAAATTAATTAAAAAGAAAGACATAATTTAAGTAGTAAAACAAGTATGAAGTGTACCTCTTACTAGAATATTTGAAATGTCATCAAGACTCACCCATGAACATTTAGCTTTTCCCTCCTCAGCGACTAACCGATATGGAACCTGAAGTTACAAATTAAACCACCAAAAATAACAAAACACAAAATCCATGAGAAAGAGAAGAATCTAACATGTACTCTAGGCATTTAATATATTCCACAACAAAAGAACATAGCTACCCAGATAAATTTGACCGTGTACAGTTAGTTAATCGGGTTCAAAATAGTTCGTCAAGATAAACCACAAACATTTATTTCATAAGCCACTGCAAAGATTACACATTGATGTCATATATGTAAGCATTGTACACGCATACATATGATATACATACATACTGTTTCCCTTAATAGCTTATAAATGATATACATACATAGATACATATTTCTATACACAATAAGTGAATAAATGATAACGAAACGAGAAGTAATACACTATAAGCCTGCAACTCATGTGTGAATCATCATAATATGCCAAAACAATAATAGTATGAGTTTATAAAGAATAAAAAACAAAGTGCGTGAAAATACATGGGTAACAATTTTTAAGGATATTTTCTCAGCTTTGTCGATGAAATCAATAACAGAAAAAAGATATTTCGTAAATTTATAAATTTTCAACTAGATTGATTAAGTGAAGCAGCATCAAAATTTCCAAGAGGAGAAGTTGTTGAACCATCTTATCCATCTTTAGCATTCTCTTTCCAAACTTTCATGTAGTTGAATCTAGATAGTCTATGTTTATTGTAAAGATAAGTCCTTTATTATACGATAAATCAGTGGCAAAATGTAATAAGGGATTGGAACTAATGGAGATGCATTACTAGATGACCAAACTGAAAAGAAAGTTGATTGGACTAGCACTACCTCTTGTGTTCCTACGCATATTCCTTATTCTTTTTTACTGTAAATCTGTAACACCACCAAGGACGGACTGATCCTAACCAGCTGTCAACAATCCAAATACTTTGCAAAGAGATAAGCCTATACAATTTTTGCACTACATTTAGTTCAACCACTAAGAAGCCATAATAATGCATCTGCTGCATCCAAAAAGTTATATGCCTATCAATGATTTAAAAACATTATTTTCAACATTCTATAAGGAGTTCAGGATTAAGCTTCTACTGTTGTTGCTAATAAATTAGTAAGGCATACACCACCACCACCATCATCATCCTTGCCTTTATCCCGTACAAACGGGGTTGGCCACAAGGATTCTCTTTCTCCACTCTTTTCTATTATATTCCATATCTTCTACTAGATTTAATTTTTTTAAATCATTTCTTATCACCATCAGAATATGATAAAATTAGCAGTTAACTAGCCAAGTATATAAATGATGTAGCTTTAGAATTTAAGTGTCCATATACCGTGTCCAGTTGCTTAGCAAACCATTGATTCAGCTCCTTTATACAAGATGCATCCTCAAGCAAATAGGGATGAAAATCAGCATATGCTAAGTAAATGCCTTCTTCTGCATTTAAAAATAATGCCAAGAACTCGTTAAACAGATATAAGGATAATAGTACATAGCAGCTAGGCAAAATGTATTCCACAATGTTTTTTCCTTATCCATTTTTCCCCCTAAAGCTCAAAGTGGTACGACAACCTCCTACAAGACCTCTTACCTGTACAAATGTCGACCACTTAACAAGGTCAAACAAATATACAATAAGGTTTTAAATCTTGCAGGGGCAGCAGGGCTGGCTCATGTCCAAAACTGCCACAATAAGGTTACAGATCTCACCAGATCCAAAGTAATGTGGCCGACCCACAACCAACTCATCTAGCCAACCAGATTACAAAATAAAGAAAAAGAAAAAGATAATAGTATTTGTCAAATATAATATAGCCTTGGTTTCCGGATAGACAAGGTCAAGGATCCAACTTAAACCACAAAATCTATGATTAATTAAATTTGGGTAAATCACTTTCATCCTATTTACAAAACTGTCAACCCAAACCAGTTCCATTGAGAAGAATTGGGGGGTCTTGGATTTGCATCTCAATAATGGATTTTAAAAAAGAAAAGGAAATAAATGAAAATCTAAATTTTACAGACCAAAAAAACTTAACAAATTTGCATAGAAAGAAAACAAAAGAGGTACATGAATGATACTGTCATCTGGTGAAAAAGGAATACGTACCATCCCCTGAATGATAATGGGCCAACTCTTGAGCAGTAGAAGCAATCCTTCCAAGAACTGCATTCATCTAAGTTTCATTGAAACAAATTGAGAACTTCTCAAGCTTACAAGCACCGAACAAATAGATTTTAAAGTGTTCTTTTCAAAACAAATGAATGCAGAGAAGTCAAATAAACCAACTACAGTTTATTAAAAGCACTGGATAGCTTTCAGCAGCAACCAATAACTCATACGACTCTGGCTTAATAGGCATAAAAATTGCAGAACAGAATGATGGGATTTCTAAGATATATTGTAAGGTCCAGAAAAACATGCCACGTATCATAAGCAGCAACTTATAGGCATAAACTACGATAGCCACATATATATATATATTCCTTTCTCACCACACATGTTAGACTATGGCTTAAGCTAGTAAACAGTTCTTGTAGCTGTTCCTAGACATGTTATACATAAGTTTAGGAAAATTCCTTCTTTTTTCCCAAATCAAAATAAATAAATAAATAAATCCTTTTTAAATATCCATGAAACAAATAGTTCTTAATATTTTTACAACATTCAAATGTACTAATAGATACCCTCAAGGGTGAACCTCTTAACTTCTGAATGGTTGAAATGGTATAATGTGCGTTAAATCCGTCATGTTCTTTGTTTATCTTTGCTTTACATTAATCCGATGGCTTACAAACCTGTGTTACATCTCTTAACTGTATGATTGTATGATAATATTTGTAATAGTTTTTAATGTGATGCCATGTTATATTTCCGCAGCACACTACATGAGATTACAACTATAGTTACAACTTAACAAACAATGACCCCATTCACGTAACAGTTTGTTTTCCAACCTTAAAAAAACTGACAACACAACTCCACCCAGAATTGATATATATGCATAAAAAATATAGTGCGTGTGAAACTGTTGCCGCTAATGGTATAAAACCTTCAATTTATACTGGTTTACCTCTAAATTTCTTGCCGATAAACTATCATCTACATTAGTAAGTTGAGTATTGACAGCAGATGTTGCTGCAACTCGTGCCCGCCTTCCTTGCATCAAAGCTGAAGCCTGGCCAGTAAGCATATCAAATTGAGACTGCAGATGCTTAAGTTGTCTCTGCAATGCCGAAGCTTCAGCTTTATAAGCTACAGTAGCATCCCTAAACATGAAAAGTAATCCATCAGAGGCAACTCCATAAATAACATTCTCTTTTGTTTTCCATAAACTGAAACTAAAACAAAGTATCATAGTCATAAATACTACAAGGCAGCAAACAATTTTTTTTAATTTGCAACTTGCAAGACAATGGAGATATATGCGAAGCAGCATATTTGTCAAGTTAAAAAAGCTCTATACTATAATGATCCTAACAACGGAATGCTAAAACGGTGGACCAAAACATAACCTAGATGAGACAAAAAAAAGAAAAGGCTAGCCCAGTGCACAAGGCTCCCGCAATTGCGGGGTTTGGGGAGGGTTTGTTGTATGCAGCCTTCGAACTCATGACCTCTAGGTCACAATGGAGCAACCTTACCAATGCGCCAAGGCCTGCCCTCTTAACATAGACGAGACAGTACATAATAAATTCCAAGGGCGACTATAATATTATATCATAGATCCCGAAGTAACCAAATGGCTGGAGCATGTGACCCTGCAACTAGCTTCCCCAGCAAACCATCTTATAAGATGAGATCTTCATGCACCAAGAAGGCAACCACTTTGCTTAACAACTTTACAATGAAGTCCATATAACCATGTCAAAGATCATAGAAGTTTCGGAATCACCCTGTACGAGGAAGGGAAGCCTTATACTGAGGCTTGTTGTGCTATGAGGGAAATAAAATTAGGAGTGCCTCGATATTGCTGGAGGAGAAATATTTATCATAATATAAATAATGATAATTAAAGTAACACATGCGCGTGTGCACACACCCAGAGATGCAAGAAGGTTCTTTGTGCAAATTTTTATAGAGAACAATTCCTACAAAAAAACAAAACTGAAAGAAATCACCTCCTTAATTTTTCATCATTCATTTTGGGGAGAGAGAGTGTTACCTGATCACAGCTTATCAGTTTTGAGTCAAAAGCACAAACTTCACAGTTTACTGAAGCCATTTACTGTACTTTTCCACGGTAGAATAATGCAACGCTAATAAGTAAATGAAAATTTTTGCCCAATGTGAAACCATCTCCAGTCTTGAACACTTTACTTATCAAAAAAAAATTCTCCGGTCTTGCACACAACATTGCCTAGAAAGAAATTTGACCACTAAGCTCTAACAATAACATATTAGTTTAAATTGGTCAGCCCCAACCATTTATGATCCATCCAACCATAAAATGAACTAGGGAGGAATTGCTAATGAAACAAAGAAGTGAGACCTAAATTAATTCCATAAAGTACTTTAAAATGGTTCATTATCCAATGCATCCTGTTAATCAAGGTTGCTGAGAGGGGGAGAAACTTGAATATAGTCCTAATATTTTGCATTATTTGCACAAAGTGGTTATTCTTAGAATTCGAAAGTCATGTCTTTACGTGTGACAGCTTCAACAATTACGATTTCACTAAGCAATAGCCTGTACATTTAGTACTTCTCAATCTTAAATGACTTTTTTAACTTCTCATTAACATGTACATGCCATGTAATTATTCTTAATCATTCTAGCAAATGAACATGAACAACTTGAGTTGTAGATACTATTCAAGGAGAATAATTTCCTAACAGTGCAGATTCTACTTTGAAAGCTAAGATTACATTGAAAAGAGTAAGAGCCACCTAGGTGATTTGAGTAGATAGGACTAAGGCTTGTTAGTTCAATGAACAGTTACTGTACTTCATTTTGCAAGACAATTGTAATAACATCGATTACAAAATAAAGCCTTGAAGTTTCAAAAGGTGATAAATCTTTGCATTCTCAACCTTAAGTCATACAATAAAATTTATAAATAACCATCTACTAGTTGATACCAGAAGGCCACAACAGAAAGTCAAGAAACAACAACTAAAAAGACTAAAAAATAAATAAAGATTATATATTTGCAACAAAATATGTTACCGTATTTCTTTCAATCCTTCTTCAGTTCCAAAAACTGCCTCCTGATTGTCTCTCCTACTTGAAAAGGCCGATATGCTATCATAAGCAAAATCCAAGTCCTCCCCCTGCCATGTCACATCACCAAATATAGCCATGAGTTTATTTGTTTATGCTGCAAATGCACATCAACATGATATGGTGCATAATTTTAATTAAAAATATATATATATATAGTTATCAAACTGAGAAAGGCAAATAAGCAAAATAGTCACATACAAGTGAATTAACAAGACAAAACACCAATAAGTTCATCCCCACCCCCTACCCCCCCCCCAAAAAAAAAAAAAAAATCCATCTGCCACTTACAACAACCCTGTAGAAGTAACAATATAAGCAGTTAAAGAGCTTCAAATTTAATTTCTTTCTTCCATGCTTTCCAAATCCACCATAGAAGACAAATTGCAGCAATCATCTAGTATTCTAGTAATAACCGCATGTCACACCCTACATCTTCCAACCAAAAAACAAACCAAGAACCAACTTAGGCCTCACTACCAAACACCAGCTGCTTGGCATTGCTAAATGCGAGGCAATGTTTAACTCTTTCTCATCCACAAACACAAAGAACAGAGACAGCTATCATGAAAAAGCACACTTACTGGACCCTCATAAACTTGCTGACAGACATTTTCATGCAACCACATACATGGAACCTTGCAAAGAATTATGCACATGCATTCATATTTCACAAGTCGCACTTTAAGTGCATGCATTACAACAATACCTCCAATAGTTTCCCTTCTTGTAGGAATTGCTCATACCTGAAAAACAAATGGAGGACAATTATTAAAAACAGAAATGTCCATTCATATCAAGTGAAGTTACTAAAATGCCTAAATAATAATATGAGCGAAAGACTTAGCATCAACGTGAGCCCAACTATCAACACAAATATTATTGCCAAGGCATGCAATCAATCGGATGAAGGACCGTGTCACCATGAGTTACAACATATACTAGGAAAATAATAATATTTTTGGGAAACACTAAATTTAAGCACAAAATTGCATGACAGAATGATTGTATTACAAAAGATAATGACAAGCTTAATCTCCAATGAAAACATTTCTCGCGAGAATGTATATTTCCTGGAGAACTTCAATGTTTAATAATCCGGACCAGACCGGCCACACCAGGAACCAGTTCCTTTGCAGGATCTGAATCCCCCGGAACCTGCACTCCAAAATATTCTGTCTAATTTTCAATAACCATGTGAACGGACGATTGAACAGGCTACCCATCATACCGATTCACAAGGGTATATGCCATTAAAATTGAGCACTGTAGCAATTACCAGATTTCTTTACAGGTAGCAACTACCTGTTTCTCTTTTTCATTTTTTTTTTTTAATGCCCTGCCTCACTCCTCATTCTCACTTTTTTTGTTCCTTAATCTCGGCTTCACATTGCTTTTTTTTTTTTATTTCATCTCTCTAAGTAACTTTGGTTCATATTGTCTTACCCAGTGCACCTCACGCTTATTTTCACATTGAATATACTGAAAGAGCCATCAAGAAACCCTAATCCAATTCATAATTATTATACAAATTATTAACAAGAAACCTATCAAGATATAAATTATAACCAAAATTGGTTCAATCCAATCAAAATCAAGATTACCAAATTTGGGAATTTAACTATGGCGTTTACGAATTGTAGACAAACCCTAAACCCAGTAATTGGGCAGCGATATGACATTCTTTCCTATAGTAAAATTTCGAAAACAACCAAAGAAAGGACAGAAGAAATTAAATCAAACATGCAAAGAAATAGAAATAGAAAGAGAAAGAGAGATGAGACGTAACTGAGAAACCTCGGACGGTGAGAGGACGTTGGATGGACGGAGGCTGGAGCAGAGCCAATCCAGGATGGGTCGAGTGTCGTCATACTGAAATGGCCATTCGAAACTGTCTGGGTCCAATGACCCGTGTCCTTCGTAACCCAATTCCCCCAACAAAGCGCAGAGTCTCGCTCCACTCATTCTTCTCTTCGCTTCTTCTTCTTCTACAATCTTGAAGAGATTTGAAAATGTATGAGAACCAGAACAGATCCGAACCTGGTCTCGAAGCTTGAAACCGAAACCTTCTTCATTCCAACAATGAACAAACAAACATTTTCGATACTTGATCTTTCTTGAATTTCAAGATAGAGAGAGAGAATGTGAGATGGGTGCTTTTGGCGCCGGCCATTCTGTGAGGATTTATTAGGTGTGTGGCACCATAGAGATGAGGTGTTTTTATAATGCATCATCGAATGCATAACCGCCACATCATCGTCATGATAAATTTTGAATGTACGGTTAAAACTGTGTTTGTCTTTTTTTATGGGAACCCTACAATTGATGAGTGATGAATGTTTTGAATCTTGGGAAACAAGTATTTGCTTTAATAATAGGGGTAGAAAGGGCATCTCAGATTTTCCAAATTCAGGCTTTTCAATTTGTCACATCAGTATTTTTTCACAGCTACATCAGCATTTCCATAATCATGTCAGCGTTTTAGAATCTCCAAAATTTTAGCTATCCGATATACTGTAATGGTGCATTTTCGCTCTCCAAAAATATTATTATTTTAATATTTTTAAATTTAAAATAAAATTTATTTTTTAACAATTAACGGCTATATTTATTTAGCCAATATGCATGAAATCTTGATTAATATCATTTGATTTATTAATTTATAGCAAAAATAAAGACATATTTTTTTAAAATAAAAAAATCATATTTGAACTAAACAATGAAAGGTTTTTTTAAAAAATTAAAAATAAAAAATAAATATGTATATAATTATTTTTAAAAAAATATATATTTCAAAAAATAGGTTTTTGTGTCAATATAGCCATTAAGGCACTGTTTGGGTCAGCCAAACAGTGCCTAAAACAACTATATGACAGTAGGAATATTTTAAAAAGCAAATTTTTTTATAAAAAAAACACTTTTATCTATTTTTTTTAAACTTTTTTTGCCCAAAAAATCCTTTAAGGCACTATTTGTGTCAGCCAAACAGTACCTTAATGGCTCTTTGGTTTAATTTTTTTGAGAAAAAACAAAAAAAAAAAGACTAAAATCAACCAAAAAACTAATTTTTTTTCATTTTTTTTTCAACCGAGCCAGAATTAAAAAAGAAAAAGAAAACTGATGCGGGCCCGCATGTCTGGCCTGCAATTCACCAAACCACTCTTGGTTTTTGGAGACTTGGATCAAGATTGTCTTAATGGCCCATAATTTGAAGAGTCCATTAGAGCAGCCTAATCTTCAAATTCAGCTCAGAATCGCCGAAAGTATCACCATTGAACTTACTCTAACAATTTTATAATTGTTTAAATCTGACATTTAAAAAGGAAAAGTCTTACTGTACTATTTTGTGCTTATTCTTTGTGAATTAATATTTACTGAATTTGGTGTGATTTACCAAAAAAAAATTAATTAATTTACAAAAATATATTGTCTATTAATTCAGTAAATATTAACTTCACAAACCTAGAGAAAATAAAAAGTAATAAATAAAAAAATTAGAAGAAAAAAAAAAAGTTGGAAAGAAAAAATCGCCTCAAAATATACCATTTATATTATTGGATGCTTTCAAGTCAAGGTTGACATATATTCATTTAATTGGATGCATATGATGTGCATTCTCCCGTTAAATCAAAATAAATTTGTGGATGTTCACATGATAGCACTGTTGATAAGAAAATAAGGATGATTTGGTACTATCATAAAAGGAAAAGATCTTTTTTTCTATTTCTAAACATTTCACAAATTTTAACCATTTTTTCATGTCATAGAACCTGTTCCAACACTTTGTCTCGCTAATCTTCTCTAGAAAAGTTTCGAATGAGATTTTTGAAAGAAGAATAAAAAATAAAAAAAAATTGCCATCCTTATCAAGTTTCAAGACAAATAGAATTGATTTTTAACAATCTATTAGACACAATATGATGGCAAAACTTCAAATGAAGGGAGGAAAAAAAAAAAATGTAATTACAAGGATGGGTGCAAATAATATTTACCCTATTGCAGTATTTATATTTGCCAATTTAAGATCTTAGTTCAAGTATTAGAGAAGCTGCTTACGCTAAATCCCTACTACTATCGATGCTTTACTCCAATGTTTGGTTAGCAAGAACTTGATAGAAATAAAAAGAAAAAAAAAAAAAAATATATATATATATATATATATATATATATTTAAAAATTTTATGCATTTGGTGAGATGGATAGTAAAGGAAAGTAGGATTCTCGCTTGTGAATTTTCTCTAAAAAATTTTTCAGTATAAAACACTCTGAAAATTTACTTTCTCCCAAAACTTAACCACTTTATATTTTAGTTTCCTTTTGTGTCTTTGTCAGTTATTTCTCCCCCACTCTTCCTCATTTTCTAGGTTTCTCCATGATTCTCTCCACCTTTCAGTTTGTCACAAACTTCACGCGTATGTAGATGATTTCCTTCTGTAAATTGATATAATCTTAATTTAATTATTTATATTTTTATATATGCATATAAAATTAATTTTTTATTATTATAATTTTGGATTCTATAATTAATAATGATTGAGATAGAGTGATATACATGTTTTTTTATTGTTGGTGTTGTAGACGATTGGGATTTTTAGTTTGATTGGAAACTTCCTATCTCTAGATTTGGGTATACAATTTAGATATTAATAGAAACAATTATATTATTATTTTTAATATTTACTTTCCTTTTATTTTATTTTATTTTTTTGGTTAAAAATAGATATAAACAATTAGGTATAAAGTGGTTCATCAAACACAAATTTATTCTATTTTAAAATATTTAAATTCCTAAGGATAGTTTTGATAATAAAATCATTTTTTTTTTTTTTTATACTATCAAAACGAACAAAATAATATTTTGTCATAATTTTTTTGAAAATTTTTCCTCCTCAACAAATGGATTTTTACTTTTACTTTCTATCATAAATTTATATCTAGCCAAATGGACCCGGTAGGAAAAATAGAACGTGCTTGATAATTTATAAGGAAAAAAAATTACATAACCCCTCTCTCTACTCTCATTTTTGTACAAAACACTCCTCGCTAAAATTAAAAACTCCCTTAACTAATAAAAAAAAAAATGCTATCAAGTTACCATATATCCATGATGGCCCGTTTATTAAGTTGTGAAATGATAAAATTAATCTTATGATTTAATATAAAATTTAAAATTGATATTTTAATGAAAATACCCCTAACCCCTTATCTTCTTCCTCTTCACCCTCTCTCTCTCTCTCTCTCGCTGAAAAACTTCTTCATTCTCTCTCTCTCTCTGATAAACGGGTCAAAAAAGGGGAAAAAATCACAACCTAACTCGACTCTCACTCTCTCTCTCTTCTTATAAGAAGCTTCTCCAACGTTGGCCATCAATTTTTCACATTGTAGGGTCTGAAAGGAAAGGACGCGGCTATGATCAAACGCAGTAATACCCAGGAAAGTTTTCATGCGTCTGCGATTATGTTGCAATCTTCTTTGTTTTTCGTTTTTTGTGATTTTTTCTATGCGATTCTTGCTATTATTAATGGACTAACACATTATTGGAATTTGAATTGAGGAATCTTTCTAATTGGATATTTGGAAAATATATAATATACGCGCGTGTATATATTGTGTTGTTAGGTTTTCTTGATTGAATCTGAATAAATCTTGACCCAAGTTCAAAGCTTTTCCCGTATACCATTACTTTACTTTCGTAGTTGATACTTAATTGAGTTGTTAATTAGTTTAGCTTGTTTGTTTGAGTTCAAGGGCTTGTCGTAACATTGTTTTTCCTTTTCTATGACTTTCTAATACTTCAAATTTTTTAAAATAATATTATATATAGTTAGCTTTACTAAAGCAAATTAGTGATTCGTTTACCCCAAAAAAAAAAAAATTTTGGTGCTTACAACTACTACTCTTAGGCTTTATATAATTTGTTAATCTATTCATTGATACCCTTTCTTTTTTGCAGGGTTGTGGTACAGATTGAAGTTTAAAACTAATGCTTGAGCATGATTTGTTGAACAAGTAGTCTTTGAGGCTTGTATGCTTGTATTTGAGTAAGTTTATGAAATCCATTGCTACTAAAAAACGGTTTTTTTTTTTTTTTTACAGCCCTGAATTTGGGGGTGTTAATAGGACTGTATTTGTGAAATTTTTTGTATGGTTTCAATCAAAATCATTAGTTTTATGATTATGACCATAGTGAAGGCCTGACGGGCCTGTGGTTTATTATCATTGACTATATGGCTGTAATCCGGTAAAAGAAGCTTCTTATCAGAGTGAGAGAGAGTGTGTGTGAAGAGGAAGAAGAAGACAAGGGGTTAGGGGTATTTTTGTAATTTCACAATAAATATCAGTTTTAAATTCAATATTAAATCATAAGGCTAATTTTGTCATTTCACAACCTAATAAACGACGGGTCTTGATAGCATTTTTCATAAGTAAAAAAAATGGTTAATTACAACGACACCTCTTGAGGTTTAACATATTGACAGCCATATATAACTTGGTCGTTTTTTGAACAATGACACCCCATGTGAGAATTTTGATCCAAACAAACCCTTAAAATGTTAGAAAAGACGAAATTGCCCTTCAATGTTTAATTCATTTTCGTGGTAAAATATTAGAACTTATGAAAAGTCATTTTTACCCTTATATATATACACTATTATATCAGCACCATCATATATATATATATATATATATATATATATATATATATATATATATATATAACCAAGCCCAACAAAAAAGCATCGCAGCACCGTCGCCAACCACAGCCGAGCTCCACCTCCCTCGCCGGATTTGTCTCACCAGTCCACAGCCACCGGCCGAGCTCGCCGTCGCTCTCATCGCCGGTTACAGATCACAGTCAAGTTCTCCTTGCCCGCCGGTGGACATCATCAAAGCCGAGAGTCCCTGTCGGTGGACATTCAAATCTGTCTCATCGATCCACAGCCACTGGTCGAGCTCGTCATCGCTCTCATCACCAGTCGCAGATATCCATAACTGAGTTCTCCTTGCCCGCCGGTGGACATCATCAAAGTCGAGAGTCCCTCCTCACTCACCGCCGCAATTAACCAGCTCGTCTCTATCGACTCCATCAAGCCGTCATAGCTAGTCCGTCACCGCTTTGTCGCAGTTCATCCATAGCCGAGCTCTCCATCTTGCTCGCAAGCTCACCGCCGAGTCTCAACGACCAGTGGATGCTTTGACGAAGCCCAGCACTGCCTCCACTATCTCTACCACTATCGCCCTTGTTCATTCTTTCAAGAAATATATATATATATATATATATATATATATATATATATATATATTTGCCACAAAATTGAAAAAACACATTAGATAGGCACAGAGAAAACATTGATTATTACTCATAAAAAAAAAAAATTTAATAGTATGCAATAATTCTCACTAAACCCATTTATAATTTCTCTGTTTTGTTTTTTGGTGGAGGTGACAGTGGCGGGTGGCCATGGTGGAAGTGGTGGTAGTGGTTTTGGGGGCAAAATTTATGGGTTTTCAGTGAGACAGGATAGAGAGATAAAATTGGAATTAATAAGGGTAATTCTGTCATTTGAAGATTTGGATATTTTAAATTAAAAATTAATATTTTATTGAAGGTCAATTTAGTCTTTTATCACCTTTTAAGGGTCTGTTTGGATCAAAAATTCTAACAGAGGGTGTCTTTGTTAACTTTATCAAACTTAAAGTGGTGTCATCGTTCAAAAATGGTCTAACTTGTATATAGCTATCATTATAGCAAATCTCAGGGGGGTCATTGTAATTAACCCTAAAAAAACCAAAAAATTCACACAGAATAACAAAAATCTTGAGTTTGAAAGCAAACAAATTCAAAATTATAATTACCTGATAAACTAAATGTGTTGAAAAGAAAGCTATAATCATGGTAGAGAGAGAGAGAGTTGTTTGGAACAAAGAGTGAAGAATAATCATTTGCAAGTCTTGAATTTTAAATTAAAACCTCTTTTCTTTATTCCTTCTGAATGAATTATTGACAGAAACACTCGAACCTTCATCATTTACTTTGAAAAGTAGAATATATACCACCAGACTATAAAGTTGTTGGTTAACGCATCTAATGGAATGATAACATATTTATATATAATTCATTAAAAAAATTGTATTTTTAAAAAATAAAAAATATATATTAAGAAATTAGGTGAAAATTTTATTTTATTTTGTGAGTTGGAAAGTAAAAACATAAAATTGCTTATTATTATTTTGTGTAAAATACTAACCACGAGGTTGAAATCCAATTTGTAGCTTGTTAGAAATACTAACGTAACATTCATTTCTTTCGACAAAAGATAATTACAGAGAGAATAATGAAATAAATAAAAGGGGTAAGTGCAAAAATTTCCATATACTATTGATATAGTGCAAAATAGTTAATGTGTAGTGTAAAATATCTCTATATTATTGGTTTGGTGCAAATAACCCCTGGAAAATTAAAATGACGACAATACTCTCATTTTAATGGAATAAATTAATAAATATAAAGTAATGTAAAATGACTATTTTGTTTAATTTGTATAGGATGTTTTCTTTGGACAAGAAAAAAATAAATCTAGTTTTGTCCAAGAATTTCATTCCCATAACTATATATATATATATATATATATATATATATATAAATAATTTAAAAAATCATTAAAACATGCATCAGTTTCACCATCGCCTCGACCCACCTCTTCCCCCACCATGGCCGTTTCCCCCCACCATGGCCATCACCATTGCCACCACCTACTACCAAAGCTACTGTTACTGCTATAACCATCTCCTTCCTCTCTCATACACATCAAAACCAATCAACAATGTACCGAAATCAACTTGAATAAGTCACATAAATAGGCCCCATATATATTTTTAAACTTATTTAAATTTTTAATCCAAAAAAATCTAAAAATGAACACCTTTCTTATCCTTTCCCTTTCCTTCGTTATAAACTCCTTCCCCTTCCCCTCGTTACCATATTGTGTGTTTGGGATACGGGTGCAGTTAGCACGTGCAAGGCAGCAAAACCAATTACCCTACTTCTAAGGGCCCGTTTGGTATGCGCTTTGTTTTTGGTGCTTTGTTTCTGGCTAAAGCAGAAACAGTGTTTTTGTTGTAAGAGTGTTTTGGAAAAAATTCGGAAACACGTTTGGGAACTATGTTTTGCTGTGAAAATGTCAGAAACAAAAACATGTAAAACATATTTGGTCACTTTAACTGTTACAATGTCACATTTTATGAAATAATAAATTTATATTATAAATTTTATAATTTATTTACAAAAATGTCTAAAAAGTATATTTTAATAATTCAAATATTGTCAATATTTTTTCATGTAAAAGTCTTAAATTTTTGCAATAACCTATTTTCAATTTTATTATCCTCTTTACAAGTTGTTTGCAAATACTGCAAGAGGTCTGTTTCAGTCATTTTCTTCACAAATATTTATAACTAAAACTCATAAAATAAAATAAAAATTATATAAAAAGATCATAAATTAAAACAAATTTAGCCAATTTTTTTTTTATTTTGATAGATTAATTGATTTAGCCAAAAAAAAAATATTAAAACAAGAATTATAGACCTTGAATTCAAATAGATTTGGCTAAAAAATATATATATATATATATTTCGATACACTAATTGATTTAGCCAAAAAAAAAAATAAAATAAGAATTACAGACCTTGATTTCAAATAGATTTAGCCAAAAAAAATATTAAAAAAGAATTATAGACCTTGAATTCAAATAGATTTAGGCAAAAAAAAAAAAATTTATTTCGATACACTAATTGATTTAGCCAAAAAAAAAAATTAAAACAAGAATTACAGACGTTGATTTCAAATTGATTTAGCCAAAAAAAAATTAAAACAAGAATTACAAACCTTGATTTCAAATTGATTTAGCCAAAAAAAAAATTTATTTCGATAGATTAATTGATTTAGCCAAAAAAAAAAAAAAAATTTAAACAAGAATTACAGACCTTGATTTCAAATAGAAAAAAAATTAAAACAATCTGAAATGATACGCCGATATGAGTTTTGAGAGTTGAGAGACAGCGGGCCAGCGGCGGAAGCTTGTGAACGGCGAACCCGAATTGGAACAGCGGGCGATGGAAACTAAAAGATATGGGTTTTCATTTTTTGAACAATCTGAAATGATATGCCGATATGGGTTTGAACTTTTGATTCTTACAGACAGATAGATGAACTGAAGTAAATGGGTTTTGAACTTCTGATTCTTGTGGACTACAGTAGTTTGCAGTTGCAGAGACAGAGAGATGGCAAGTTCAGAGTTGAGAACAATAATAGAGTTGGAGGCGATTGGGGAGGCTAAGATGATTTGCGAGTTGCCCAAAATTGCCCAAAGAGAAGCTGCACCCAAAACCCTAGAAAATGACCAATTTTGCCTTCTATATGTGTTTAGCTACAGTTAAATGAACAATTTATTTCCTCTGCCACAGTGTAATATAGCCCAAACAGTACAGAAACAACCAAAAACACCAAAATGGTGTTTCATATTTTGGGCCCATTTTTGAAATTATTTTGCAACTGTTTAAAACACAACAAGCCCAGCTAAACATGTTTTGGGCTTGAAAGGGGCTACTGTAACAAATTTAAAACAAAACAAAACACTTAGGGCCTATTTAGTAACACTTTTACTTTCTGATTTTTACTGTCAATTCCTAAAATTGTGAAGTAAAAGTGAAAATTATGTTTAGTAATACATTTTTACTTTTTACCTATTAGAAAGTACTTTCAGATTTAATGAAGGAAAGAGAAAGTGAAGATTTGTTACTTTGTTTATGAGAAGTAATTTATCTACTGTAGCTTTATTTTCCAAAAAAAAAAAAAACTTAAAAATTATTATCACCAATCTCCACGTTGCCTCCCCCGACCATGGCCACCGGCCTATCGCTGCCGCCATTACCTTCACCCACCTCCTCCCTTTGTTCACATATTTCTTTGGATTTAGTCTTAATTGAAACACACTCTTGAGGAAAAGGAAGAAGAAGATCATAAAAGTGATGGTGTGCGCTGATCTGCCGTGGAGAATTTGCCCAGAGGCTTCTCAGATCGGAGGTGAACAGAAAGCTCCATTCGCAGAATATCGTAATTTCTGAGAACGACCACTTTGTGGTGGTGGATACCAAAATCACCAACTTAATAATGTTGGAAACGCTGTGGGAGGTGCAGAGAGGATTCGCCGCAAGGGTGATTTGCAGCTATGAGGAAGGGTTGTTGCTGGTTCAGTCCAGAATGAAGACGCTTAATTTGTGGAACCCTAGGATTGGAAAACAATTATTCATGAACTTTCAAGTTTCTAGAACAGAGAGGAATATAGAGAATTGAAAAAAGAATGTTCGTATGGATATGATGTATCCCCTACCTCGGTTAGAGCTTGCCCCCTTCCCTGAGATCCGATACGCCTTGTCCCTATTCCACCGGAGCTGGCGGCAGTGAAAGTCTCGCGGGAACAACGATTTCTTGGCAACGCTGCCATCGAACTTTCTTCTTTCTTTTCTTGGAAGCGAATTTACAGCTTTTCCTTCTCTTCAACTTGCCAATCAAGAATGGGTCGGTCTTGATCAATACAACAATGATGATATATATATATAATAGAAAGCAAAATTAAAATTATAATTATTAAACTTGCTTCCTAATTTTTTACTTTAAAAAAGCAAAATTAAAATTATAATTATTAAACTTGCTTCCTAATTTTTTACTTTAAAAATATTAAAAGCATAACAAATTAATAAACATAATTTTACTTTATATTTTAACTTTAGGAATAAAAATTATGATTTTACTTTTGAAAGTAAAAATGAGAAAGTGAAAGCGTCAGTAAACTGCCCTTAACAAACAGGCCCTAATATAAGTCATTTTTTAATTCCCGCGCTTCTTCATATGTCACGAGGGCATAGGACTAGAAGAGAGGAGAAAAAAAAACAAGAGAGGACAGCGAAGGCAGAGGAAGAGATGTGTGGGAGGGCTCGTTGTACTGTCAGAGCCGACGATATCCCTAGGGCTTGCCACCTCAACGGCCGCCCCCTCCGTTCTGTCAATATGGACCGGTAACCTCCCTCGTCTCTCTCTATATGTATACGTTATACACACATATCTATCTATATACACATCACATTTGCAACAACTGATTCTACCGACTAGGGCTTTGATTAATTGACGGTAGAGTATAGACTCAGTGCAGTGTATACAAACATTTCTTTCCGTTTATTGTAAAATAGAAGGGTTTGAACTGTGTCAATTATGGCTCCTTTTGAACGCTTAATTTGGGTGAAATATTAGGTATCGGCCATCTTATAATGTCTCACCAGGATCAAATCTGCCGGTTGTTCGGAGAGAAGATGGTTCTGATGGCCAAGGTGGTACTGGTGCCGTTCTACACTGCATGAAATGGGGGCTTATTCCCACTTTCACCAAGAAAAATGAGAAACCCGATCATTATAAGATGGTAATGGCTATGATTGACTATTCACACTCAATAACGTCACATGAACGAATCTAAATTTAATTTCAAAGGCTTCCACAACTATTCATGATTTGAAGCACACTATTATGATGATTGCTACTTCTTATTGGTTTTATTTTACCACCATCATCATCATCATCTAAGCCATCAGTTAGTTATGCAATTCATCTAATTTCTAAATGAAGTGAATTTGTTCAAATTTATGAAAGGAGAGAGGAGGAGTTATGGTTGAGCCTTGCCCGTCATCTTAGTAAAAGCCCCAATTTGGGATCATTTTACAGTTTTACTGTTATTTATTTCTTGTTTCCCCATTTATTTTTTTCGAGGAAAAATACTATCTTAAAACGGGGTTTGCTTCATTTAATATTGACCTTGAAAGTCAAAATTAATTGTTTAAAGAGTTTGACTATTGTATGTTATTTTTATTTTATATTGCCCAATTTCACTTTTTTCTGGCTAGAGATTTACTTTATGTAAATGGCACTCATATACTGTTTGTACATATGGATATGGTTGGGTTAGCTTACAGCGACACTAAAACTGTGCAATCTATGCTGTTGAAAAAATTTCAGCTGTCTAATCTCTGTTCTAAATTGCAGTTCAATGCTCGGTCTGAGTCAATATGTGAGAAGGCTTCTTTTCGGCGTCTTGTTCCAAACAACCGGTGCCTAGTGGCTGTCGAAGGGTACATGTTGTATAATGGTTTTTATGTGAAGTTGTGTGCTCTTTCACACTGTTGGAGCAACATATTTCCTTAAATCACTGACATTAACTTCTGAGTTTTCCACGATTCCGTAGAAGTCTTTATGTCTGTATAATTTTCTAAATATGGAACATCTGTACTCATATATGGCAGGGGTCGGTGGTGAATATTCTATTTTCCCCCAGATGGAGTATACCAAAGGCTATTAGTTTGTCTATAGTTGTTGCTTATTACTGTTTTGGGTGAACACCTAGCTGCAAAAGATGCCACTTTTCTTTCTGTATATTATCTTTATGTTCAGTTATTTTTGTATTCCTTCAAATGTTTTTAGCTATAATGGGACTTGGATCTCTGTTCAGATTCTATGAATGGAAAAAAGATGGGTCAAAAAAACAACCCTACTACATTAATTTCAAGGATGGTCGACCCCTTCTATTAGCTGCTCTTTATGATTCTTGGAAAAATTCTGAAGGTGAACCACCTTTGTTTGATTCTCGTTTATCAGATATGTTTGCAACTTGCAATTTTGTAATGAAGTATGGTTATTTCTCTAAAAAAAATTCCTCAGTTTTCGTTGTTTTCCTGTCTCATTTTGTAGCTGGTCTGGTTACTTTTATTTAGACATGTAATTTTACCCTAAAAATATTTTGACTTGAAATGCTTTTGAGTAGATTATAGTACCTGCGGCTGTTAATCTCCATTCTTTAGGTTGCTCTGTTTGTTGATTTGTGCCTTAGTAGTATAATATCTGGACAATTATTTCTACTAATTTCCTATTAACTCGTATTGTTATTTGAAGGACTAATACTTGGTTTATAATTTTATATATTTTGGACTACCATATAACTAATTCATTCTTTCCTGCAGGAGAGATTCTTTATACCTTCACCATCTTGACAACTTCTTCATCATCAGCTTTAGGATGGCTTCATGGTTAGTATTGTTTGTTTTGTTGATTCACATTGTAGATCTTAATTTTATAGTCAGCATTTAAAGATGTTCTACGGTGTATATAATCATTTTATGGCTAGAAGATCAATTTGATGGCACTCTTACATGATCATGTTCAATTTTGTAGTATAATGATCATGTGCAATTTTGTAGTATAATGATTGTACTATGCAACAGAAGGGGAAAGTTGCAAAGAGGAATTGTGGCACCTCTTTAAGGCACCAGTAGACTGCTCAGGAGACCAATTCAAATGTTGAAAGGCACAAAAATGAAAAACATATATTGTGAAACTTTTTTTGGTTGTGTTTGTTGTTGGTTCCTGAAATATCAAGTAGCCACAATATCACATGTGAGGCATCGAAAGCAACATGAAAGATGACTTATGCTTTATTTATTTATTTTTCTGAATGGGATGCTTTTATAAAACTAAACAATAAAATACAAGAAAAAAAAAAGTGTCATACCCCCTTAAATACTTACAGAAATGGGTTTTTCCATTTCCAATAGAGGCCAAACAACACAGAAAGAAAACTGCAAGACAATAAGAGAGTAACAAAACTAACAGGTCAAGCAAATTCAACTTATTAAAATGTAAAGCATCCCAAATTATAGCATTTGCTGCAGCTAGCTATTATTTGGGATGTTTTATTTATACTTGTATCCTGGGCTACAATGCAGTATTACTCTCGTCGAATGAACATCTATACTTAAAGATGCAGCAGGATTTCAATCCTAGAAACAATCCATTGCCAGCTGGAACTGAATCGAATTTGAAAGTAATTTCTATGCGACAGTAGTTGAGTGTCAGATATAGCAAATATTCTGGAGAAGTTTAATGTATTAAATGTGTTTCCTTCAAACTAATCTGCGCTTTCTGGCCTCGCTTATATTTATTCTGATTAAATTTATCCTATGGTACTATACTACTATAGTACCATAGCTTTTATATTTTTATTTCTAAATAATAATATTTACATTGTATTATGAGAATTACCACTTTTATATAGATGAGCAGTAATTAGGAAAATTTTCTTATTACTATTGCGTAATTTCTGGAAATATCCACCATTTAACTCCTAAATTTGAGAATTTAGTATGGAATTTTGATTGTATGCTTTACTATTTGCCGCTCCTCTTCTTGTTCTCTTGCCTTTAATCCACATGCTTTGCCTTTACACTTCCCACAAACATGGGGTTTAGTATTACTTTGCTTCTCTTGTTAACTATTGATTACTGTTTTGTAGTTGGCCCATGATGTTATGAATATTATACTGTTTTATATAGATAACACGAGAGATGCTTGAAAGAAATAAACCAAGCAATAGCTACAGGAAGATTCTGAATAGAGCTCGTACAACTTTAGATCGCCTGATAAAATTTATCTTTATAGCAATCTATAAATTAATAATGAATGGCATGTTGGCTCACATGGGCAAGGATATGAAACATATATATAATTATGCTACATCTAGAATGAAGATTTGAAGGCGTTAGTGGGTAGTTATGTAGTAGTTATGTCTTTTACTAATTTGTTGGTGGAGTGGGGTAGTTATTTAGAAGTGGAATGGATAGTTATGTGAGTTTCACTATTTTGTAGGAGATTTGGGGGTAGTTTTATTAGTTTACAAAGTATTTTAAATAACAGGTTCCAGCAAAGGAGGGGGGAAGTTTGTTTGTAATCTGATCATACATCTTGGAGGCTGGTTTCCCTCTAAGTAAACCATCTATGTATCTTGGAGGCTGGTTTCCCTTGAAGTAAACCATCTATGTATATTATCTTTCTTTTCCTTTATTGCTTTTTCTCTTTCCCAGCCCTTTATTACCAGACCTATAATTCGTTCTTTGACAAATGAACTAACAAACTACCACTGAGAATTACTCTTTAAGAATTAAGCTGGAAATTGTTATGCGACCCAGGAAGTTTGTTCTTTGTTTCCTTAAACAGTATCGGAGAAACAAAACTGGATTTATCCTTACTCATCTTATAAAAATGTGGACAATCCAAAAAGGTTTCAGGTGCTAAAATAGTGTATAAAGCCTAATCATCACATGCTGCAGATGATCACTTTCTTCACAGCATAATATCGTACAAGTAGAAAGATAGAAAGTGCTTAGTTGTGCAACTAGGATTAACTAGGGAAAAATAAAATACTACTACTGTTTATTTATGTGATGGAGGATGCTTTTCAGTTCGAAAAATCGAAATCGAACAAGACGGGTGGGGCCCACAGCCTTGTTCTGTTTAGATTTTCGGTCTGCATATCACTGTTCTTATGTGATTGATAATTCATATGACTTGTTCAAAACTATTCATAATTTTGTTATCTAATATTATACAGAATAAGTCATTTATATATTTTCTTTATTTATTTTTCGAATTCTGGACTTAAATGTTACAAAAAGTGTTCATGCAGCTGGTTGATGGTCAGGTTAACAGTTTAACACACTGCTAAGCAATAAAGATGGATGATGAATGTCTTCTATGACTGACTTTTGTTTTTGGCTGTTAAGTCATAACTACCTTTGACCTTTACATTAGAAAATGCAAATTTGCTGTTTTCACAAGTATAACACGTGAATTTGCTAATTTCTTTTATTCCCCATTTGACATTTAGAGTGGAAAATGTAATTTTTACAGTTTCATTTCTGTAAGGTTTTTTTTATTGCATTATATCTGCCATATTTAAACTCTTTTTGCTCATCATTTCATTCATCTGCTATTACAGACAGGATGCCAGTTATTCTGGGTGGCAAGGAATCTTCTGATGCATGGCTAATTGGTTCTTCGTCTTCCAAATTTGATACTTTACTTAAACCATATGAAGAGCCGGATTTGGTAAGAGCTTTCTAAAAATAAGAAACAACAGATGTTTTCACATGACATTTACTACTACATTGGTTGAAACTTTGATTTCAGGTATGGTACCCAGTGACACCTGCAATGGGCAAGCCTTCTTTTGATGGACCAGAGTGCATAAAGGAGGTGTGTCTAGTTGGTTCCTCGGTTTCTTCTAATGATCTTTAGTCCTTAAAGAGTGATGATAGGCTCTCTGTTTCGGAGACACCGAGCCCCGGACACTGGCGGTTTCTTCTTCTAATAATCCTTAGTCCTTAAAGAATGATTATAGGCTCTTTGATTCGGAGGCATCAAACATCAGACAGTGGGGGTTGTGGATCCCATGCCCTGCACTGTCTCTGGTGGGTCTTTCCTAATCGGAGAGCAACTAATTTTCTATTCTTATGTTCACAATTTGAAGTATACCCTTTGGCAGGACAGAAGTCTTGACTGCAATCAACAACAGGTGGTCAGTGTTGGTTGCAATATTACGTATAGACATGAATATTTTTGTGATATTGCATCAACAGTAACATTTTTTGAAAAATATATTTTATCAACCAATCAAGTTTGTGGTATCTAATTTGTACAATTAGTGTTTGCCACTTGACTGACTTCATGTCTGAAAACCAGAAGCTGCTCACAATGGAAGCGGATGCCATAATTTATTTCTAATTCATTCCCTTTTGAAGATGACTTTTGTGTGCTGATGACCACCATGTTTTGCAGATACAACTGAAAATTGAGAAGAAGAATTCAATTTCAAAATTTTTCTCAAAGAAAGAAATTGATGATGAAAAGGTGTTGAAGCCACAAGTTGGAAGTGCTAATGAAGAGCACAACAGAACCAGTCAACTAAAAAGCTTGAAAGAGGAACCTGAAACTCGGGATATGGCAGGAAAACCATCCTCCACCAGCCCATTAATAAGTTTGAAAAAGGAACCTGAAACTCAACACAACACAGACTATCCATCTTCTACCGGGGAATGCAATTATAATTCAGAACCTAAGACAGCTGGGAATCCCCAAATCAAGCGGGACCTTGAGGAGCTTTCAGCTGATACAAAGGCATCTATTGATGACACCAAGAAGCTTTGCACAAGTCCAGTCAGAAAGAAGGGAAACTTTGGGGGTGCTGGTGATAAACAACCAACTCTATTTTCTTATTTCGGAAAACGATAGTCACATTCCCTGCATGTTATTAATATGAAACAAAACAGCTGTTGTTGTATGAAATAACTCACCCATATCATGTAAATTTTGAACTTTGAACTGCCAAACATGGTTTCCTGTTCAAATTATGTTCTATTTTAAAATGCACAATGTTTGTTTCATCTCTTTGGTCATTTGTATCCTCCTACATGTTTTAAGGTTAAGTGCTGCAATCAATTGTTGTGTAAATGTCACATCAAACGAAAAAAAATACTAAAATAAAGTACTAGCAGAAGTTTTCTCAAAAGAAAAATTCAAAATTGAGAAGTGATTGAAACAAACTTCATATGATTATCACATCCATCTAAATTCCTTCTAGGAAAAAAAAAAAAAAAATTACAATTTCATATGATTGAAACAAACTTTATTACGAGACTATCACATCCATCTAAATTCCTCCTAGGAAAAAAAAACCAAACAAACAAATCTATAATTCTTGATATAAATACCGGCATACAAGAGCAGAGCAAGAGCACCGGCATACACGAGCAAGAGCAGCCATTTATTGATTCCACTGGGAATTTTGTTGTTTAGTTTAAGGTAGGAGTAGGAACATTGAGAAGGGAGGCAAGCATACCCAACGCCATGAAAGCGAAAAGGGTGCTGATATCCAAACCAAAGATGGGTGGAATCATAATCCTGAAAAGACTCATAAAGGGGTCGCACAAGTCCCGGATTGCCGAAAACGGCTGGCGTTCCCAGGGAATGTTTGGGAACCAACCGAGCCAACACCTAACCATCAAAATCTCACTGTAAAGGCTCAGAAATTTCGCCGCCCCCGCCGCAAGCGCGGGAAGCAGCGGTTCCAAGCGCCACACTAATCTCTTCTGGAGGCTGCCAATCATGGCCGACTCTGCGTGACTAGTGAAGAACGATCCTGAAACTGGTACAGCCTTTGTCAACATCGAGTCGTGATCATGAGTTGGGCTGTTTGAAGAATAATATGGGGTTTTGGGGATTAACTTAGAGGAGGGGGAATATGAGGAGGTAAAAACGCTAGCCCTAGACTTTTTGAGGGATAGATTAAAGGGTTTTGATCTTGCAGCAGGGGGTGAGGGAAGAGAGAGAGCGCTAGGGTTTCGGTACAGGAGGTGCTTTCGAGAGGGGTGGATCGGAGGACAGGTAATGGGGATTCGGAGGTTTAGGGTTTGGGACGCCATGTCCATGAGAGAGTGGTATAGTAGGTCTTTTAGTTTGAGCTCATTTTATAGGTTCCCAAATAAGAAATGGGTTGGATCCAAGAGAAGAAGACACATTGAAAACAAAATTTTTTGGATTTGAATTTGGAACCAATTGAATTTGAAAGGAACGCATATATATATATATATATATATATATATATATATTAGTTTGGATGTAGGATGGGATTTGGAATGAAAATAATATTATTGTTTTATTTTTATGAAAATAATAAATAAAATATTTATTTTAAAATATGATTATATAAATATGAAATTGTAAAATGATAAAAAATAAAAATAAAAACTTAAATTTTCAAAATGTCCTACTGTAAAAATTTGTCTAATTGCTTATAAATATCTTAAATAAATATTTTTGAATTATTTTTATAATATAACTAAAGGTAGGAGCATATTTGCTCTGCGCTAAGCAACTATATATCTTGTAATTTTTAGTTTACATGTGTAAAAAAATGAAAGCAGGAATATACATAAAAATGGGGCATTTTAATTTATTTATATTATAAGAATACTTGTCACTTTATTTTTACATAAAAACTTGAATTATTACTCTGACACTCTCTAGTTTGTCTTATTGATAGGGTGATAAAACTTAATCGATTTTTGAATAATCACACCTTTGTTAGTTTTAACATTTTAAAATGATTGTGAAATGTCTAAATTACCCCCTTATTATTTAATTAATTTTTAATATAAAATATCATATTTATTAAATTACTTAAATGCCCATAACAACCCCCCCCCCCCCCTCTTGCATCTTCCAACCCATTCTCCCTGCAAATTCCCCTTTCTGATCTTTCATTGGCCCGTGATAAAATTATTTTTTCAGGTGGGAGGCCTAATAAGCCGCTAAGGGCGAGGAGCATGTGGGGGTGCAGAAGGCTAGTACGAGGAGGCGATCGGTGGTGGAGGGTGACAATATGGACAACTACGGCCTCAGGTGGCTGGTGGCGGTGATGAGGTTGACGAGCGCATATATATATTTTATGTATATACCTTCTCCAACTTTTCAAAATTGTCGACTTTAAGTGGCACCCAGCCGTGAATGGCTTCACCGAGCGCTGAGCAAAACGGGCCAACCGACCCAATCAACTCGTTCCTAGACTCACTCAACTGGCTCCCACCGAATCCAACTCGCTCCCAGACTCACTCAACTCGCTCTCACTCAATCCAACTGGCTTATCTTCTTCTCCAATTCTACCCCAACCCACCTGACTCTGAATCACTTTCCCGATCTTAAACCCCGAGAACAACCGTGACTGCCACCAGAAACTCACCGCCTCCTCCGTCATCCACAGCGGCGATGAACACTTCCTCCACACAAGAGCTAGATGGCGATGGCAGCAGTGAGTGGAGAAGATGAGGTGGAGAGGAGATAGATGGTGGAGGTGGCTGCGACAGTGGGGTGGCAGCGATGTTGGGTGGAGAGGAGAGAGGAAGAAGGGATATGAGAGGGATGGTGGTTGTGGCTGCGATGGTGGGTGCAGAGAGAGAGGGGCTTTCTGTCTGTGATTTAGGTTTTTATTAAACTAAGACAATATGGGTCTTCTGGGTCTCCATGATCGGCGGGGAGAGAGAGCATGGAATAATTTGGGTTTGTTTTTTAGATCTATACACGTGTGTGTACACACACATGTATAAATAATATTTTGGTTCATTAAAATAAGTGAAGGTTAAAACGATAATTTTATAATTTAAATACTAAATTAATTTAAAATTGTATTAAAGTCAATTTATATTATGTCAGACCACTAATTAGTGTTATTGTTCATTTTAGTAACATGTAAGAGTGTTGTTGTTCAAAAAAGATTAAATTTTATTTAATTATCAGTAAGACAAACTATAAAAAGGGTTATGTAATTAACCCTAAAAACTTTGAACACACCATAAAGTAGTTGGTAAGTATTGCCTTTGAAAATTGATAACTTCGTACTGTCAATTAAAAGTTTGACTTATTCAACAAGAATCAAACCATTTAGTAGGTAGCAAATATTACTCCGTATCAAAGAAAGAAAAAGAAAAAAGAAAAAGAAAAAAGGGAAAAAAATTAAATAAGATCTTCAACATTAGAAGCATCGGAAAATTGAACGCCTTTGTTTGTTTATGTCTCGCAACCAACTCATCACATACCTTTAATACTAGATATAAATACCACCGGCATACAAGAGCAGACAGAGCAGAGCAAGAGCAACCATTTATTGATTCCACTCAGAATTTTATTCTTTAGTTTAGGGTAGGAGTAGGAACATTGATGAGAAGGGAGGCAAGCATACCCAACGCTATGAAAGCGATAAGGGTGCTGATATAGAAACTGTGTATGGGTGGAACAATAATCCTGAAAAGACTCAAAAATGGGTCGCACAGGTCCCGGAACGCCGAGAAGGGCTGGCGTTCCCAGGGAATGTTTGGGAACCAACCCAGAGAAATCCGAACCATCAATATCTCACTGTAGAGACTCAGAAACTTCGCCATTCCCGCCGCAAGCACGGGAAGCAACGGTTCCAAGCGGAACACTAATTTCTTCTGGACGCTGTCAAGCATGGCCGACTCTGCCAGGAAAGATCCTGAAACTGGTATAGCCTTTGTCGACATGGTTGAGATTGAGTCGTGATCACGAGTTGGGTTGTTTAAACAATAATGTGGGGTTTTGGTGATTGACGCAGAGGAGGAGGAATTGGTAAAAACGCTAGACCTATACGTTTTGAGAATTATTGGCTCCAGAGAGGGTTTGTACTGAACCGATAGAGAAAAGGATTTTGATCTTGCAGCAGCAGGGGGTGATGGAAGAGAGAAAAAGCTAGGGTTTCGGGAGAGGAGGTGCTTTCGAGACGAAGGAAGAGAAAGAGGGGTGGTTTGGAGGGCACAGAACGGTAGAGGGGATTCGGAAGTTTAGGGTTTGGGACGCCATGCCGTGAGAGAATGAATGTAGTAGGTAGGTCTTCACGCTCGTCCTTAATTCTGTAGTTTGAGACCGTTTTATACAGCCGCCGGATTGGATCCAAAGGAAAACATATTGGAAACAAAATCTTTGATTTTTGGGATTTGGTTTTGGAAAAGGAATTGGGATTTTCTTGAATTCTTTTTTTTTTTTTTAAATAAAAAACCAGAAAATAGATATTTGAAAGGAAATAAGTACATAAAATTACTTTCCGAAAAAAAAAAATAAGTACATAAAATTATTTGAATATTAGTTTTTCATTAAAAAATTATTTGAATATTAGTTTTTCATTAAAAAATTATTTTTGAAAATCAATTTAAATAATATTACCTCGAAAAATTTATACTGAACAATTTTTTGAAAATAGTAACACCCTTGGTTTTGTTTTTTTTTTTTTGTTTGAAAGTTGAAACGAATATTATATAAAAAAGAGAAACTGTACAGCCCAAAGCTAGCCTATAGCTAACCATAGAACAGGCCCAAATAATAGCCCACTCAACATGCCCAAATACAACAGCCCAAAAGAGCAAACGAAGAGACCAACTGATCCCCAAAGTGAAAAGCAAAAAACCGTTACAGGGTTTGCGGACATTCCGGTAATGAAGGAGCAAAACTCCATCTTCAGGGTACATGGTCCGGCGGTTTGGCCGGAGGAACGGATCACAGAGGACGGGAGATCCCATTCCGCTGCTATTCTCGGGGCATTGAGGGAATCTGATATTGAAGATGATAGGAGCTTGGCCTTGATTGCATCCAAATTTTGGTGGAGTAGGAAATTGGCTGAGAGGGATTTCTACTTGTAAATACGACGGTTCCGCTCCATCAAGATGTGATAAACCAAGGCTGCCAAACTCAATTTGGAGACTGAGTTGCTATGAAATTTGAAGATGTCTTTCCAATGGTGAGATGCTCAATGTTTGAGCTCGATGCATGGGGATGGGTTGATGTGAAACCCACAATGTGCTTGTTGAAATACCCAACGTGAGTAACACCCTTGTTTCGTCTACAATTATTAATGATTATTCTATTTTGTTTTTTTATACATATAATATTATATTTATATATGTATATATATATATTTATATAATATATATATATATATATATATATATATAGTAAGCTTTTATCAAAAAGAATTTTTTCTCTTTTTTTTTTTTCTTTTCTTTTCTTTGTGGACTGTTTTGCAACAGTTGGTTTCAATTACCTAAGAGTGAAAGTAATTTCTCATTTCTAAAGACACGTTTCTTTGTCACATCTCTCCAACGATTATGTGACTTATCTCTCTCTTTTTAAATAAAAGATGAATAATGTTTGTCTATTTTTCGATGAGTAAAATTTTAAGCTCTAAATTTAAAAGAGGAAAAATTAATATATTTTAATTATAAATTTAAAATAAATACATGCCATTCTATCACTGTGTTATGTTTGATGGTGAAAAAAAAAAAAAAAAAAAAAATCTACGTTTTCATAGAGACTCATAAAGAAAATGCTACTATTAGATTGCTCCCATAGAGGTGGCGCTCTTAGTAATTATATCCATCTATTGATCGAAATACCATCAAGAAAAGCCAGTTTTGTATCTTCACTTTTCATTTAAAAGAATGATGGTCAGCCTTATTTGTCTAATGCTTTGTTTGATTGGAGGGAAGCATTGAGATGATGCATGAATAAAACTTTACGTGTTTGATGGGAGAAAAGGAAAATAAGGAGGAAACTCATTTTTTTTATCCTTCCCTTTTTGTTTTTCTATCCATCCAATTATAGAGGAAGGGAGGAGAGGGAAACTGAATAACTACCTCTGTTTTTTTAATTTTAAATTTTAACATTTTCAAAAAATAAAAAGTTAATTTGTTGTAGTGAATTGTCGGACCTATTTATTTTAATTGGTATATATTTATCCAACAAATAAGGGAGTAGGACTCTCCACTTACTTGTATTTTAATTGGTATATATTTATCCAACAAATAAGGGAGTAGGACTCTCCACTTACTTGTATTGTATATAAATAACCGATTAGTAATTC